CTGTGTCTTGGCTTGAACAAGGGCTCGTGCCCAGGTCCCAGCCTCAAACGGCGCGGGTAAAGGCTAGTGCCTGGGGAGATCCACATGTCGAGACTGGTCAGGCCGGGAGCGTGGTGACCGAGGGTTATGGGTGACCCGATTGTGGGTTTTTGCCGATTCCCCCCCGGAGTTCACCACGTCCCGGGGCACGGCTCGGTTCTGGGCCCCTTTTGGCGATTTTAGCCGACCCGAGCCCCCGAGGGTAGGATTGAGCACGAGTGACCTATTTCAAGTCAAGATTCTTCAAAAGGAAACAAAAGCACAGACACAGCCTTTAGGAAATCGAAAATGCTTTTATTGAAATACGGAAGAGAAAAAAGATAAGCCCCCGGCCAACCCTGCACCCCCGGGGGGGTGCGGGGTTGGCCCGAGCCCAAGACCTGACACCCGACCCCCACTAGGGGTAGAAGCGACGAAGGTGTTCGATGTTCCATGGGTTAGGCAGCTCTGTGCCGTCACCCGTGGCCAGCCGAACGGAGCCCGGCCGGGGGACGCCGATCACTCGATACGGACCCTCCCACATTGGTGAGAGTTTGCTCAGTCCAGCACGCGTTTGGACACGGCGTAGGACGAGGTCGTCGACGCAGAGTGATCGGGCCCGGACGTGGCGCTGATGGTAGCGCCGCAGGCTCTGCTGGTAGCGCGCGGCTCGAAGGGCCGCGCGCCACCTTCGCTCTTCCAAGTAGCCGAGGTCAAGGAGCGTCGGCTTCCTTCTTTTTGTCGCTCGCAGGCCTCCCCTTTCGGGTGGCCAGCGAAACGCCTTCGACGGCGAGGACATGACCCTCGTCGTCGGAATGGGCCGACCTCTTCTTCCTCCTCCTGTCCCGCCGCCCTGACCGAGCGGCGGACCCGGGGGCGGCCGAAGCTGCCACACCGGAACCGGAGGGGTTCCAAGTCCAGGCCTCCTCCTTGCGAGCCACTCGGTCCGCGAGCTGAAAAAGCTCCACGGTAGTCTGGGGCTCTTTGGAGGCGATCTTTTCGAGCATGCGGTTGTGCCGCACACCCCCCCTGAACGCGTAGATCACCGCGTGTGCAGGGATGCATGGTATGGTGTTGCGGACTTGACAGAACCGCTGAATGTATGAGCGAAGTGACTCATCATCCCTTCGCTGGACTGCATGTAAGTCCGCTTCTTCACCAGGGCGCGGATATGTGACTTGAAAGTTCATGGTGAACTGTTGGCACAAATCCTTCCAAGAGTGAACGGACGCGGGTGGCAAGTTCATTAGCCAACCCCGTGCCTGTCCCTTCAGGGCCATGGGAAAGAAATTCACCATGACCCTGTCGTCACCCCCGGCGGCCTCGATCCCGGTCGTGTAGACCTGGAGAAACTCGGCGGGGTTGACGCTCCCGTCATATTTTTCGGCGATGGTGGGCCGGAACCTTGGGGGCCAACGGACGTTCCGAAGGCTCGCCACAAAGGCTTTACAGCCGACACCACCAACCAGGGGCACGGAGGGCTGATCCCCGCGTCCGTGTTGAGGTGACACTCCGGACGAGGAGGCGCCCTCCGTTGCGTGGGCAGCACGTCGGCGGTTACGCCGGCGCTCGATACTAATACGAGCATCCGGCCCCCCGCGCAAATCTTCCCGGGTCGGTGTCGCTGACGAAGGAGTGGCGGCCGAATAGCGAACAGCGGCCGCCGCTCGCCGCGCCCTCCGTCTTGACGACACGGAGCCGGTGGTAGCAGCGCCAGAGGCCTTGGTGGCGGAGGACCGCCCACCGGCACCTAGGCGCTGCTGCGCCGTCATGACCAAGTTGGCCACGTCGTCCAGCCAACGCTGAGCTGGAGACTCTGGATCGGGGACGACGGGCGGATGACGCAGGAGCGCGCCCGCAGCCTGGAGTGCGCCCTGGGGCGTGCTGCCATCGCCGTAGACGAGGAGGCGACGCTCCCCGTCTCGCCGTCCTTCTCCATCACCCGTGGATGTCGAAGTCGCAGATCCTTCTACCCTCTCGAGCGCCTCCTCCCGCCTAGGACTTTGGCGTGGAGGGGGCGGTGGAGTACGAGCTCGACGGCGTGGGTTTGGCTCCCCGTCGTCACCGCTAACACTCGGAGAGAGGTTGTGCGCCTTTGCTTGTTCAGCCATTGGGCTGAACAGGAAAAGCTTGGCGCACACGAAAGAGTGCGAGAGCTTAGAAGAACACACGCAGAACCCCCTACCTGGTGCACCAGATGACGGAGCGTGGGGCTCCTCACCGGGAGACCGCGCAGGCCCCCCTTTGCCGGTTCGGCCGGGGGCCCTGGGTGAGATTCTAAGCTCCTAGTCTGTGTGTGGAAGGTTCGCGAGAATGGAAAAAGCACAAGACACGGGCGATGTATACAGGTTCGGGCCGCTGAGAAGCGTAATACCCTACTCCTGTGTTCTGGTGGATCTGTGTATGAAGAAGCTACAAAGAGCTGGAGAGCCAGATAGCTCTTATTCTAAAAACCCTCTCCAGATCATCCCCCCTTTCAGCCCCCTCTCTTAAGTGGGCAAGGTCCTCCTTTTATATCTCAAGGGGATACCACATGCACCACTTCTCCCTCTCTCTCTTTTTGGGTGGGAGCCCATCCTATCTATAGTAAAACTTGGCTTGCCTTCTCTTGGAAGCTGAAACACTGCCTGTTTTTGAGTGTGGCCACGCGTCCTCGTTCGTCTGACCTCGGGGATCACCCTGTCATCTCTTCATAAATGGGCGGAGATTTGCAACGGCTGCTGCCCGAGTGACCCTTCTGATGGGACGGCCCATACCTACCTCCACTCCGCCGGAAGCAGGTGCAACGTGGGAACACGGTTGTCTTCTGGCGACATAACCAGTGTCAGACCAGTCACAGACCGGTCACCTTTGTCCACCACGTGTCAGTTTAGCAATCTGCATGTTCGCCCTTCTTCATTAAACGTCTTGCTTATAAAGGTTGGGATAAAGCCTGGCATATATCTGACCAGGACCAACGTGCCACCCCCAGGAGCTAACACGCCGGCTCCGGCTAGGGACGAGTGCTTGGAGGCTCTCATCCTGACGGGATGGGGCGAGGCGTGCGTCAGACCGCCCGTCGCCACCTAACCCGCAATCTGACCGGTCTGTGACCAGTCACAGACCGGATAAACGAGCGCGCTGTACTGCATTACGTGTGGCGTGACGTGCTCACCCAAACCGCAATAAATGCGGTTAGGTGAGCCCCGCTGCGCTCACCTAACCCATACACGCGGCGCAAAACCCACAAGGGGTCGGGGCGCCTCGGCCCTCGGGGCCGAGGCGGGAGCGGTCCGACCCCCTCGGGGAGACAAAGAGGAGGGCGAACACATCACCCTCGGGCCCGACGCCCCCCGAGGGTGCCAGGCCACGTGGGCGATTGTGTCTGCCTCAAGCCTCTAGTCATGATACTCCCGGTCCCATGTCACCGACAGGTACATTAGGAAGGAATTACTTTAGTTTGAAACTTATCATAGAGGTTTGTCCTTAGTGGATCGGTGAGAAAATGTACTGATTTGTAATTGTCGACGAGAGTACCCCGAATTACATGAGGGATGTGGATTTGTGTAAATTGTTTGGGAGGAAAGGATTATAGAGAATTTATTGGCCTTGGAATTTGGTCGCTATATGTTATGAATAAGCTTTCTTGGCTTCTTGTTTAACGTGGTGAAGACACACATGACCCATAGATATAGAAAAGTACCATAAGGGTTTTTTTAGGCTATAGTAAGCTCAAGATTGACGAGGTATGTATCATCTTTTGCATATTAATATGTTCCTCTCGTGCTTTCATCGAGTGACTAGATTATCTTTATTGAAAGGGCGGTGAGATGTAGATGAAGCTACACAAGTTATATTAAGGTGGCATGAGGACGCTCACTATTGATGGCAAAGTAACATGATTAAAAACACCCCCTTTGTTGCCTTATAGGGGTAATTAAACAATAAGCGAGGTAACGCCTTAATTTATGTGACTAATAGTGATTAGGATATGGATAGGAGAAGGAGGAAAGGTAGCCTAATATGACTCATAAAAAGCTCAAATTCCATTCACACCAATCCAAAAATTCAAATAGATAACCTAACACAAATATTAAGAGTCTCTCCTCTCAAAAAATACCTTCACATTGCTGCTTCTCCTTGTAGACCGCGTCTTACCTCACTTCAGTGTTTTATGTTATTTTCTCCCATTGTTCTAACTTGGATGGATTCTGTGTCACCGTGTCAGCACTCCTTCAATGACTCAATGTATCGATATTGGTTCACCGACTCACGATGGATCTGACGCATGGGAGAGAAGAGAGTAGGGGCTAAGAGCTAACGGGGAATAACATGGGATGATATGAGCAAAAGAATAGGAAAATGATGTAGTTGTCGTTGTCTTTAAGTCTCATTTTTCTCTACACTATGCCCTTAAAGCGAACGGTATATTTTACTCGATACATCTTATCCAGTGGTGGAGCCAAAATTTTCCAAACCTAAAGCTCAATCAGTTGAATTTATATAATTTTGCCTTTATCTTCTAGTTTTTGAAGTTCTAAAAAAAAATTTCAATGAATATTTAGGACCAGGAGTAGGGCTACCGCCCTAGTTGCCCTATTCCTATCTCTGTCCCCTTACTGATGTTCTAACAACTAGCATGATAATAAGTTCAGATATACTTAAAACTTTCTATTTTGTATTGCCGATTTAGATTGGATTTGTAAATTTCAATTACGATTATCTGTTAACTATTTTATCAAGGACAATTCAAATTATAAAATCTACATCGTCCATCTAATTTCCAAAAGCAATATACTAGAACTTTTTCCTTCACGACACGATCTAAAACCGTCCAATCTTAGAAATGCACGGATTGATTTTGATCAACCATGTCGGTTGCTGATGAAACGACGAACCCACGCAGTGAGCCCGACCCAACACCCCGACCGGCCGCGCCGCCGCCCCCTAAAACCCTAAACCCGCCGCCTTCCCACCATATATACACTCCCATCAACAAAACCCAACCGTTCCCCTCTCCCCGCGGCTCCGCCATCCATGTCGCTCGACGGCAGCTTCTCCGCCGCCGCGGCCGCCGCGCGCCTCCTCGCGCGGTGCCCGGCCCTTCGCGCGGACCCCCGCGTCCTCGCGCTCGCCTCCACCGCCGGCGGTGGAGGGCCCTCCCGCGATGACGTCGCCGCGGCGCTCGCCGAGCCGCTGCTCCACCCGCGGTACACCGTCCCCGTCGTCGGCTGCTTCCTCCCGCTCGCCCCGGCCCTCCTCGACCGCGCCGTCGGGCTGCTCCGCGCCGCGGGGGCAGCCGCCCTGCGCTCGGACGACCCCGCGGCCCGCGAGGGGGAGGAGGCGGGGGAAGGGGACCTCCGGGTCGTGGAGTTCTACCTGTCCAGGGGCAGGGGCCTGCGGCTGCACGAGATCGCGTGCCTCGCGCTCGCCCGGGCCCTCGACCTCGCCCCCTACCTGCTCCGGTAAAAATGACGGCCGCTTCCCCCCCTACTGTATGCTGTTCGTGCCATGGTTAGGTGGAATTTAAGTTCCGGGCAGTGTTTGCAGCTGCATTTAGTACAGAATTGGACTCGTCATTCATCAATCTGGTGCGGAACAAATGCCCCTTCTTCTAGGCACCAAGCCTTGATAGGCTATGATGATCGATGAGCCTTCATGCTCTGTAGTCAATTTAAATGGATTTTATGTAGTTCCAATATTTGTGACAACTGACAAAATCCAGTTGAATTTGAGTTCATCTAAGTTTGGGGCTATGTCGATTAAGCTTGTTTGATTGTTGGGGCAGCATTGCACGTCTCTTTCTCTTTGTTATCTTTGATGAACACTGCCACGTATGGGATGTATGGTCTGGTTCAACACAGTCAAACACCATATTTCCCCCGATCACAATTTCACGTGTAACAAATGGGAATATATCCTATGCACACAAGCTTCCCGTGCACACTCCGTGGACACCAACTAGCAAATGTCACAGAAAATTATAGAAAAAATTGTACACATACTTCCAGTAGTATTACACCTACATGGACCCTTAAAACTGTCAGTTTTTTTCACTTTTTTGTTACGGCTAAAACATAATGAATTTGAATATGAGCTTTGCAGATATGTGTAATACTATTAGGAGTAAATGTCCAATTTTTTGTAGAATTTTTTGTGACATTTGCTAGTTGGTGTGCACGGGAAGCTTGTATGCATAGGATATGTTCCCATAACAAACAGGCATCACGAAGCACTAAAAGTTGTGCACTTGTAAATAACGAGCTGAGTGGAGAGCTATGTGCCTATTCCATTTTCTAAGGTGATGTATAACCACTCGAAAGCCCATTTGTCAAAAGGTAAAGCTAATGTACTCAATCTATAGTATAAAGACGATGCATACTGGGGACATAATGAACAACAGGTCTGTTTGTGTTAAAAGTCTAATTTGTCAAGTGACTGCACTGAAGGAAAGCCTTGCCTCCTGTGGAGGGTTAAGTTTGCTCTCCTGTGTTCGCAATTCTGGTGAGCTGGAATCCTCAAACAGGCAACAGGCAATTTTTATGGATCAGTAAGAAGCTAACATGTGTTTGGACTTAAAAAATCCCTCAGTATCTTAAGCTAGCAGCTGATCTATGTTTAGAGCTTACTCATTTTATGCTTCAGTATGTCATGTACTGAAAGAGTAATTTAAAAAGCCACTACCAGGATCAGTGACAAAGAATTGAAACAAAAACCTGTACGTACTGGTTTGTCTGTTTTGTCGAGTAGCATTTTTTTTACACGTGCTCACAAATAATGAATTAGAGTGCACATTTGGTTTGGAGTTTAGATAAATTCTATATCAAACTGTACCTAATTATTACTATTTCTTTCATCTCTTGACCATTTCACTTACGATTCTCTATGCAACTACAGCATGCAAGTGGAAATATGCCATATATATAACAGTGATCTAACAACTGTCTGTTGTTATTTGTGGCAGGCATTTACTAAACTACTTTAAGTTTGCTCCACCACCATTCCAAAGGTTTCTTTCTGGAGGTGTTCCGTCACAAATCCCAATCAAGGTTGTACGTTTTCATGTGTTAAGCAAATGTCTTTGCCTTATCCCCTAAGTTGTTGCAAAACTTATGTCTAGTCTACAGCTTGTTTGAAATGCAATAGTCCCTGGGGTGTATTCCAACCCACTCACTGATGTACACACAAAAAAGATGAGGCGTATTATTTTTCTTTAAATAGTGTAATCCACCTATTGAACTTTTTCCCCTTGATACCATAACTTAGTATGTTCTTGATCTTTACAAATAGGTTAATCATTGCTGATATACCCATACGTTTCAAATCTTTTCTTTTTGAGAAAATTCATTGGCACAATGTTATGAGAGTTCTTTCTCTTCACACCCCCGCGGCATCTTCAACGGTTACTTTTCTTTTCTTTTCTTGAAACCTTGTTTTTTTTATCCTGTTTATCTGACCAATGCTTGCACATCATAATTCATTCCACTATCGCAACTTGCTCACCTTAATACTGGCAAGCACTCCTGCTAATCTTGCACTTGGCGTTGGTGAAGTACTTAAAACTTAGAAATTATTATTGGTACATGCTATTTTTCTTAGGAAGAGTATTTGCGACATGATAAAGTACATATATCTGCATATTCTTCATTGGTTTGGGAGTTTTATGTCGATGGGGCTTCTGGATTGTCTACGGTTTTATTTTGTGTAAACTTTCCATTGACACATATCCTCTTGCTTATGTGTTGATCTGCTGTTTTTCATAGGATCCCATAATTTCCAACTTTCCAACTTTTACTGGGTCATCAGTTGATCTTAATAATTTGACTGTTGACAGTTAATTTCATTTGTTTTCAGGGACTTCATTTGTTGCTTGATGCCACCCAAGTATCATATCGGTTTCTAGAATTGGAGCCAAGAGTATTTTGTGAACAATGGGACTGGTCTTGCTTTTTAGACCTTGTATATAGTACTGCTGACTACAGTTTAGTTGACGATTCACTTTATAGTGTTGTGTTGGATTTAAGATGGTGCGCTATACAAATACTCATGGTGGTTCTGAAAGCAAGTGATGAGGCTGTTGAAAGTTTTGGTCTAGGAGCAGACGAAGCATTTACATGTTTCTTGAGGTTCCTTCTAATGCTTCTTTTCTTGTATTGTTTCCCCTGGATGTTGATCAACATAAGTTTATAATAGCTGGTTATGCTTTTAGATGGAAGGAGTTTTGCACAGATACTTCCTTGGAGAAAGCCTCTTTGTATCTTCAAGCCGAAGAAGTTGATTGTAAAACTGATGCAGATGGACTCACTTGTTTGGCTGATTCTTTGCCAGATTGGCATGAGTTTTCTGTGGGACGGCAGCATGGCAGTGGAAGTAATATATGGTGTGAACAAATTCCTTTATTTCCCTATTTTTCTGTTTTTCTCGCTGCACTCATCTTGCTTACACTAATTTTCAATTGTTCCCTCTGTTAGTCCATTTGTGCTCACTGCTACTTTGAGAAAGAGTTACGAGGTAGCTTTAATGGCAGTTAACCAGAAGTGGCCCATACTTCTCTATGGTCCTGTTGGTGCTGGAAAAACAGCACTAATTAACAAGCTTGCACAGATTGGTGGAAATCGAGGTATATGCTTTCTATTTTATAACCAATATAAATTGAGGTATATGTTTATGGACTCTGCTAGAAGTATTTTATGCAAGTTAAAAAAATTGCCGTTAGATGAATAAAAAAGAGTATGTAATCCAATTATAATGTGACACATTTGGAATATTCCCACAACAGAATAAAAGGTTGGTTGAACTCTGATCTTATCATTTCTTCAGAGCATAAATGAGGGAGTTGAGTAAATGTAAAATTAGTTGCAAGATTCATTGGGCCTGTTTGTGCATATGATCTGAGAAAGTTGCATTCGCAATCTGGTTTTAACAACTTACAAGTTTTCTATGATAATGTCAGAGTCATTCTTGTTTTATTATTGAATAGCTCAGTTTGGCATTGATGATTCAATGACGATGTTTTTATGTTTTCTACTTTGTTCAAAATCTTGGATACCTCTAGGCCTTCTTTACTAATCACGCTATCCCCAATAATGCTGCTAATCTTCTGTGCATGTTTTTATTTGCAGTGCTCTTCATCCACATGGATGAACAAATGGATGGCAGGACCTTAATAGGAAGTTACGTTTGCACAGAAAAACCTGGTGAATTCAAGTGGTCTCCTGGTTCTCTTACTCAGGTCTGTGCTGTAGGGACTGCTATTCACAGTATAATCCTACTATTGGATTTTATTTTCATATATTTCTCTGACCATACTGTGATGAGCAGGCTGTTATCAAAGGTTTCTGGATTGTGTTTGAAGACATTGACAAAGCACCCAGTGATGTGCAGTCAATCTTATTACCTTTATTGGAAGGTTCAAGTTCTTTTTCGGTTGGTCATGCAGAGGTGAAAATATCCTATTTATTTATTTATTTATTTATTTTGTTTAAGATAATTATAATTTGAAAGGTGAACTATTTCTCTAGGTTCTCTTTATATCTTCAAACCTCAGAAATAATTTGCAATAATTTTCATAAATGCCAACTACCTGGAGGTCTTTACTAGTTTGAATGTCTAATGCAGGCAGTTGAAGTTGCTGAGAATTTTCGTTTATTTGCTACAGTCACCACCTCAAAGAATGATGTTTCACATGCCCTGGAAGGTTTGTCCAATAGTTCCATAAAGTTATGACTTGCAGTTATGCACTTGAAAATTGCATAGAACTATTGATTTACACCTTTTGCTTCAGAATAACTAATGCATATTATGTTTCAGTCCATAATAACATTTCTACATTTCCACGAGCTCACAATAAGGACCAAATTAATGCCCTGTGCTAATTTGCAATCAATTTTTGTCCTTTCTTCAACCAGGAAGACTAACCTTTAGTGCTCTGTGGAGAAAAGTTATGGTGGGTGAACCTAACCGAAAAGACATGATCGATATAATTCATGGGTGCTATCCAAGCTTGGAGTCTATCTCCGCTAAACTCATTGGTAGATGCAATCTTCTTCTATTACTTTATTTGCTATGTTGTGATTGTATAATAACCAGTTATATGTATTGTAGATACCTTTGAAAAGGCCAATTTGCTGGTATCTTACCAGTTTGGTGGGCTCAACTTAGCTGGAGGTTCATCTGAATGTCTCGTGCAAAGATTTTCCTTAAGGTGCATATACCTTGAAATATATTCTTTATTTGTCCATTCATAAGAACGGCCTTCACAACTTTTATTTACCAGGGACCTGCTCAAATGGTGCAAGAGAATACGTGGAGTTGATCTCAACTTCAAGGGCCTAGGATTGTCATCTAGTTGTTGCAAATTAATTTATTTTGAGGTTTTTGCTCTCTCTTCCTTTTGATATAGTTTGATATTCCCTTGATCACAACAACTTGTCATCATGGAAAGTCTGCAGTCAATCATTTTAAACTCTGTATCCGGGTTGGTCTAGTCATAAAAACCTAAATGGTATCATCTCTCCAGAGATATATCACTATGTTGTAAAAAAAAAAACTTATGGTCAAAACTCAAAAGTTGTGCCTTGATGCCATCAAAAGACTGCTTTGACGAATAGCAATATTAGTATTATTCTGATTTTAGGAACATAGCATTATGGAAGTGAACTATTTTGTTATTGCTCTTCATTTTCAAATTTAGATTTAAGGACCTTTCCTAACATACTTCCTCCGTTTCATATTATAAGACTTTCTAGCATTGTCCACATTCATATATATGTTAATGAATCTAGACATATATGTGTTTCTAGATCATTAACATCTATATGAATGTGGGCAATGCTAGAAAGTCTTATAACCTGAAACGGAGGGAGTACTAAAAGAGTGATCCTCTGGTTTGATTTCTGAGCCCATGTATGGTTGTTAATTCCTGGGAGCCAAAAAGGGTTTAAAGTTCACAATAATTTTACATAACATTAGAGGACTATTTTAATATTCTAGAGCTAGGTCGCTGGCAGGGTGTGGCACCTAGTCTGCCCAGGGTCCACCTTTTCAGAACAGTGACTAAGTTGTGTACTGTCATTATTGTCACAAATGTAAGGGCCTGTATTAAAACAAACTATTTTCCAGACATGATTATTAATATTGTCGTTCTATTTTCCTAGATGAAATGATGGTTTATTGTTCATGAACATTGATAAGTAACTTCCTTGAAGTTGTATTCAGCCATTGGTTTTCCAGGCTCTCAGGCACCTTTTTCTCCTTCTCTTTTTCTTTTTCAATTCAGGCTGTTGATATTTTTGCTTCCTCTTTGTCATCTCTGGATAAAAGGCTATATGTAGCAAGAGAAATTGCTAAACTATTTTGTGTCCCCCATGGAGCAGAAACCATAAGTCCTTCTGACAAGCCCATTATCCAGGTATGTGTTTATTATTGTTATATACAACACCTTGTTTATTTGTCTCCTTGTAGAACTAATGATTCATAATACACAGGCTCGGCATACTGACTTGCAAGTTGGTAGAGTTACTCTGCAGTGCAGCGACAAACCAGTAATTAGCCGATCTTTATCTGGTGCATATTTGCAGAACTTCTTTTGGGGCTACTTTACTGATACTGTGCTTCAAATATGCAGGCGCTTATTCAGAAAGGGCCTTTTGCTGATATTCGGCGTGCATTAGAAGTTCTTGAGAGGGTAGCCTGCTCAATAAAGTTCAATGAGCCTGTTCTTCTCGTTGGTGAAACTGGCACTGGGAAGACTACTCTTGTGCAGAATCTTGCTTCCTGGCTTAAACAGCCGCTTACTGTGGTGGTACGGACAAGTAGTTACATAACCTACTCAAGATATTTACCACCGCGAAACCATTTATTAATTGAGTTTTTCTATCCTCACTTGGTTGTTTCCTCTATGCCACTGCAAACAAAATAATATTACATAAATGCCATAATCTCCTAAATTCCTTTACTCCATTATCTAGTAGTTGAGCCCTTGCAATCACTACCTTGTAGAATCAGGTACATGGTGCATTGACAGAGAGCAGGTCTAAGGATGGGTAGGTCATTTGCAACATGATGCCTGCTAGAATAAATGTCAAGGAACCTTTTTTTTCCTTTTGTTTTTTGTTGCAACATGGTAGGAGTTCCCACTTTTGGTGTGACCAATGTAGAATGTCAAAAATGTTCAGTGGTGATATTGCAGGTTACACATTCTCTCACAATCTTTGACATTTATAATGTGCTAATATTTTTTATTGGTGTTTTCAGAACTTGAGCCAGCAAAGCGATATTTCTGATCTTCTCGGTGGATTTAAGCCTGCAGATGCTCGATCAATATGCTTTCCTCTTTATATAGAGTTCAAAGATCTTTTTTGTCGAAGTTTTTCTGGAAAGGTGTGTCTGCTTGACCTTATTTACTGTTAGCTTGAAAGCTAGTTTATTGGGTAACTCCAGTAGATTAGAAGTTCAATACTCTATTACGTACTTCCTCCGTTTCATATTATAAGACTTTCTAGCATTACCCATATTCATATAGATGTTAATGAATCTAGACATATATATGTGGCTAGATTCATTAACATCTATATGAATGTGGACAATGCTAGAAAGTCTTATAATATGAATCGGAGGGAGTATTAGATAAGCCCTAGAAATTAAATGTAGCAGGTATTATAGTCTACTTTTGTAGACTTCAGCTGGCACAGGGGTGATTTAACTGCACCAAATAAGCTGTAGAAGCCTGAAGACTTGATCTTCTTCTTATTTACCAAACTTTTAACCTTTTCAGGACAATGAAGCTATTCTTCGCCATTGTGATGTGTATGTAATGGAGAAAAAATGGAAGAAGTTATTACGTGCTTTGGAAAAATGTGTTGAGAAAGCTCAGAAGCTAATTGATGGGAGTTCTAGGTCTAACAGTGGTTCGAAGAGAAAAAGGCCCTTGCCTGCCCAAGTTATTTCTGACTGGGACTCCTTTTCATCCAGGCTAAATGCCGCTTGTAGTCAAATTGGTTCAGAAATTGGCATGTCATTTCAATTTGTGGAGGGTGCTTTTGTATCTGCTTTAAGAAATGGCCATTGGATTTTGCTTGATGAGGTTAACCTGGCACCTCCGGAGACTCTTCAGAGAATTGGCGCTGTACTGGATGGAGAGAGTGGAACATTGTGCCTGGCTGAAAGGGGTGATGTGGACTATATTGAGCGCCATCCTTGTTTCCGGATGTTTGCATGCATGAATCCAGCAACTGATGCTGGGAAAAGAGAGCTGCCATACACCTTTAGGAGCCGATTTACTGAATTCTTTGTAGATGATCTTATTGATGATGATGATCTCCGTCTTTTTGTCAGTAAATATCTGGATGGCCTGCATGCTGCTAAAGGAGTTGCAGATAGCATTGTTCGATTCTATAAAGCAGCGAAAAAGGAGTCTGAGGAGAAGCTGCAGGATGGAGCTAATCAGAAGCCCCAATTTAGTTTGAGGTCTCTTTCTCGCTCATTAGGTTATATTAAAAACGCAGAGAGAAAATTTGGCTTCAAGAAAGCTCTTTATGATGGCTTCTGTATGTTCTTTCTTACAATGCTGGATGCCCCAAGTGCAAAAATCATCAACAACTTGATAGTATCTCTTTTGTTAGATGGAAGAGTGCCACCTAGAATTTCATTTGCTGACTACTTCGTTGAAAAGCCTAAGCTACTAAATGGTTCTGAATCTGACGACTTTTTGCGTAGCTATGTGTTAACTAACAGTGTCACTGAGCACATTGTCAACCTTGCCTGTGCTGTTTACATTAAAAAATACCCTGTTCTCCTGCAAGGTCCCACATCAAGTGGCAAAACTAGCCTTGTCAGGTTTCTTGCAGCACAAACTGGTCATGAATTTGTCCGTATCAACAATCACGAGCATACTGATCTTCAAGAATATCTTGGTACATATGTTACTGACAGCCATGGGAAGCTTCAATTTCAGGAGGGTGCTTTGGTGAAGGCTGTACGTGAGGGACACTGGATTGTGTTGGATGAACTAAATCTTGCACCGTCTGATGTCTTGGAAGCTTTAAATCGGCTGTTGGATGACAACAGGGAGCTCTTTGTGCCAGAGCTTCAGGAGACCATTCCTGCTCACCCTAATTTTATGCTCTTTGCTACTCAAAATCCACCTGTGCTCTATGGGGGACGTAAAATATTGTCTCGGGCGTTCCGCAACCGTTTTATTGAAGTGCATGTTGATGAAATCCCAGAAGATGAGCTAATCACAATTTTGGAGCAGAGATGTTCAATTGCCTGCAGTTATGCCACACGAATGGTTCAAGTTATGAAAGATTTACAAACACATCGACAAAACAGCAGAGTCTTTGCTGGCAAACATGGTTTCATTACACCACGGGATTTATTTCGCTGGGCAAATCGGTACAGACTTTTTGAGGGGAAGTCATATGAAGACCTAGCTAAAGATGGCTATTTACTTCTCGCAGAGAGATTAAGGGATGACACTGAGAAAGCTGTTGTTCAAGAAGTATTGGAACGACATCTTCATGTTAAACTCAGTATCTCCAATCTCTACAACATGGTACCATTTCATTCTTTATGATATATTGCTAATGTTTCGTTAACCTCCTTGCCTAATCTAATTAAGGAAGATGACGATTAGTGTTTAAAAAATGCTTATGCTTATTCATAAATTACACTTTGCTGTGCTGATGTGATATTATGATGTGTGATGCTGGCACTATATAGCTAGGGCATTCTAACTAAACAATTTCAAAAAATACCTTTATGCACTTAGTGGGTTCAAAATTGTAAATATATAGAAGATGTTGCTAACTGCACCCCTCTGTGATAAAAACTTTTGCTCTTTTTTTTTTTTAAAAAATAAGCCACTGGACCATTAGCCCACAGCAAGATATTGAATTTACTCCTGGTGGAATTGATTTAGTTCATCATACATTGAAAGCGGTTACTGTGATGCTACTGGAACACCTTGTTGTATGTTTGCTATTTCACTTAGTTGACATTCCCATCTGACCAAGGGTGAGCTTGTTCATCTTTTGGTGGCAGCCAAGGCTGCCTAGGGGAGCTTGATGCTTCCATTCACTGCTTGCCTCTTTCCAGCGAATTGGCTAACTGTTGGGAACGATACCCAAAGGGTGAGCTTGTGGTGCAGGACGTCAAAGCAGCCAGACCTCATGGGAGCACCGTTTGAACATTGAGTTTGTGGTTGATGCATTACAGTGTGTTGTGCCTATTAATTAAGCTACTGTAGAAATTTACTGTGAAAACATAACAACGAGTTGAAACACAAACTATAGGGAGCCTAAGTTTTTCTCTTTGATTACTCTTGCATGTGCATTCGCCTGGAAACTACAGAAAGTCTCTTTCAAATATATTACTTCTTGCATGAAATATTTCACAATGCTTTTGAATCCTTATACATTTAACTTCAACAAGACCTTTTAGTCTGTCGTATCATTGAGAGGTTCGTTGTGACTGCAGGAAGTCAGCTGTGACAATAACTTGTCACGTGAATCTATAAGACTGAGAGTACAAGAAACCTTTGGAAAGTGAGTTCTTTTTATACTTTAACATATAACATACTACACCTTTTAACTTCTCTTCATCTGATGCAATATGTATTTGTACATGCTTGCAGCATCACTTGGACGGAAAGTATGTGGAGGCTATACTTCCTCATTGAGCGTTGTTACAGGTCACGTGAACCTGTCCTCCTTGTTGGTGAAACTGGAGGTGGGAAAACAACTGTTTGCCAGGTCCTAAGTGCTGTCCTTGGAGTGAAGCTACACATTTTAAATTGCCATCAATATACCGAGACTTCAGATTTCATTGGGGTGGGTTGTTATCTCGAAATCATTGCTGGGATTCTGTTTTGTTATATCCCATTGTTTCACGCTTTAGCATTATTTTCACTGGCATCATGTTTTGACTGTTATTGGCAGGGATTCTGTCCTATACGTGATAGGTCAAAAATAGCGATGGAGTTCAAACATCTGATTACAAAAATGAAGCAGCTGAAAATATTCATTCATGTTGCAGGAGATATGGTATGTTCCTTTGGTGCTGGCATATGATATTTCATCCCTGTGTATTGAGATAAGTCTCAAAATATAATATAACTATACTCTAATATGAAAAAAAGCATGCATATAATCATACTATTGACTGAAAACTACATGTACACGTGCAAATGCAATTACAAAAAAAATCCTACAACACACACGTCTATGTAAATTCGTCTATATAAGATCTAGAATGATTCCGCATAGAACAGATCACCCAGATCATATTTTTTTAAACAGTAGAGATTATATATAGTACATTTGATGTATAACTAGTTTTCCATGATGTGCAGTCATTTCCTGCTGATATATCTGGAGCTGTTAGTGTGGTGAATCACATCGATGAAATACTTGATAGATACATAAAGGAGAAGGAACTGTTCCCACAAGTGCCACCTCATGATTTTGCCGCCATGGAGCAAATTAAGTTGGATTTGATGCAACTTCACAAGAGGTGGCAGGCAATTTTCCTTTGGCAGGATGGATCGCTTGTGCAAGCAATGAAGAATGGTGATCTTTTCCTAATTGATGAAATTTCTTTAGCTGACGATAGCGTACTTGAACGACTGAACAGTGTTCTAGAACCTGAAAGAAAATTGGTATGCTGTCTTTTTCGGGTTGCTATTTTCTGCTTGAACTCTATGCTTTATCCTTTAGTAAAGTAGCAGTGCACACTACATTCGAGATAATTATGTTAAAGAAAAGGAACTAGGCTTGCAGATTGAAGGATTTAATTGATCAAATTGCACATTAGGGGCATAAGTAATAAAGTTGTGTACTTTACAGAACTACTATATAAAATAGAAACAATCCTATTTAACATAACTATTAGGGACATAGTACAATCTACCTGCAGGTAATCTGTGCATTGCTGAATTGTTCGGTTTTAATCCATGTTATAGATTTATGTGCCAGTTTGTGGTATGCTTTGGAACCCACGTATAGGAAGTCCTTAGAACTTCTGGTAAAATATTTCTGTTGCAGGTCAATGTAAGATGTTTCCTATTTGTTAATACTTAATTAAAACATGAAAGATTATGTAAACCTTCAGAAGCCTACCACATCACCAAATGCATCTTTACCTCCTAATTAAGAGGAACCAACCATCACAGTTTAAATATTCAGGATACATATTTCTTACACACCATACTTCATTGAAGTTCTTTTTTGTCCTTGCTAAACAAGATGCTTGTCAGATACTGCATCTTATACCTATTTTGTCGTGAGTCATACAAGCCATTTATAGTTTTGCTTAGTTGTTGCTTGGTCCCACCATTAAGCAATGGAAGATTACTTCTAGTCCTCTACATTGATTGTTATTGTTTGTGAGGACTGTACCTTTGTCTATCTTATCATGCACTTGTCTATCCACTCGTGAAATTCTTTGATTCATAAGGCTGTGTTAAAATATCAACTTTTTTTTGAACTTCAGTTTCATTTTAATGTTTACTCCTACTTTTACTGTTGTAGTCACTGGCTGAGAAGGGTGGTTCTGTGCTAGAGAAAGTAGTAGCACATCCAAACTTCTTTATCCTTGCGACGATGAATCCAGGTGGTGACTATGGAAAGAAAGAGCTTTCTCCAGCTTTAAGAAATCGTTTCACAGAAGTGTGGGTTCCTGCTGTCACTAATGTTGATGAACTTAAGAGCATAGCTATAGAGAGGTTCACAAATGCTGAGGTTTCTTGCTTTGGAGATTGTATTGTTAATTTCTGGATGTGGTTCAACCAGTTGCACACTGGAAGAATGCTCACAATACGAGACCTGTTGTCCTGGATTTCATTTATCAATGTGACAGAGCGAAATCTTGGTCCACAACAAGCTTTAATACATGGTCTGTTCCTTGTTTTACTAGACGGGCTCACATTGGGAATGAATGTTTCTAAAACTGAGGCTACTGAATTGAGAAGGACTTGCCTGTCCTTTCTTCTAGAAGAGCTGCAGAAGGTCGAGGGAAAACCATTAAACTCAGACTTACATGATCTAAAGAACTATGGCTGGGGTGACCATACAAGAGAAATTGATATTGGTCAACCGGATCATTTTGGCATCATGCCATTTTATATTGATACAGGTCATTTTACTCGCAAGCAACAGGGTTTTCAATTCATGGCACCAACTACCAGTAAGAATGTTTTCCGAGTGTTGCGTGGCATGCAACTTCCAAAACCTCTTCTGTTGGAAGGTAGTCCTGGAGTTGGGAAAACAAGCTTAATTGTTGCATTAGCTGGATTTTCTGGTCATAACGTTGTGAGGATAAATCTATCTGAGCAGACAGACATGATGGATCTTTTAGGTTCAGACTTGCCAGTTGAAGGGGAAAATGGAATGGAATTTGCGTGGTCTGACGGCATTCTTCTTCAGGCTTTAAAAAATGGGAGTTGGGTTCTGTTGGATGAGCTCAATCTCGCTCCCCAATCTGTCTTAGAGGGTTTGAATGCCATTTTGGACCACCGTGCTGAGGTCTTTATTCCTGAGCTTGGTCAGACGTACAAATGTCCACCGTCCTTTCGTGTCTTTGCATGTCAGAATCCTTCGTCGCAAGGTGGTGGGCGGAAAGGCCTTCCGAAGTCCTTCTTGAACCGCTTCACAAAGGTTTATGTTGATGAGTTATCAGAAAGCGACTACTCATTCATCTGTAAATCACAATATCCATCAATCAAGGATGACATTCTAAAAAAGTTGATTTCCTTTAACAATAGACTCTACATGGATACCATGATACATAAGAAGTACGGCCAAGAAGGATCTCCTTGGGAATTTAATCTACGTGATATTATTAGGTCTTGTGAGATGATAGTTGGTGCTTGTGAGACAGCAAGAGGATATCCAGAAACCTCAATGGTTGACTGCTTTCTAAATACAGTCTACCTTCAACGAATGCGAACTGTAGCTGATCGCGAAGAAGTTGTCAAGCTTTTTGAAGAAGTCTTTCAGACAAAGTATAGCATTCATGAAATAAAAATGCTTTATGTTAATCCACAGTGTTTGGTGGTTGGAAGTGCATCTATTAGAAGAAATCGCGTCCACTCTTGCAAAGTTCAGAATAGCCAACTCAACATTCTCCCTGGTACCCTCCATAGCCTTGAAGCTGCCATGCACTGTATCAATCAAGGTTGGTTGTGCATTCTTGTTGGACAACATTCATCTGGGAAAACCTCATTAATCCGCTTGCTTGCTCAGTTATCTGGCAATACATTGAACGAAGTTAATCTATCTTCGGCAACTGATGTGTCAGAATTGTTGGGATGCTTTGAGCAGTATAACTTTTTTAGGCACTATAAAGTGGTCATATCTCAAGTTGAGCGTTATATTGATGAATACTTCAGCCTGAGTCAATATATACAGTGGAAGAGTTTGGTTGCAGACAGGAAGACATTGTTTGTAAAATGGTTTGAATTTGTAATTGCAAAGAAGTTCTCTTCAATTTGCATTTCAACCCTTGTTGAAATGAGCAAGAATTCATCGTTGCCATCATTGAGCTTGGTCAGGGACATAGTTGAGGATATGAAGTGTGATATGGAAATGTTTGACTTGCCTGTATCCTTCAATAAAGATGATTTGAGTAAAACACTGAGGTCTATCTATTACTTGCAGCAGAGTGAAGCTGTACACCAACCAGTTAAATTTGAATGGGTTGCTGGAGACTTGATCAGGGCTATTGAATGTGGTGAATGGATTGTTTTGGACAACGCAAATTTTTGTAACCCTACTGTACGTTTACAAACCCTTATGAATTTTACCTTTTGTCACCTTATTTTTCTTTTGCTAACAATTCTATTCTATTAACTTTGATTCTAGGTTCTCGATAGGATAAACTCTCTGGTTGAGCAAGAAAGGTCAATTGTAGTTAATGAATGTGGTCTTGTGGATGGGAACCCTGTAATTCTGAAGGCCCATCCCAAGTTCCGAATGTTTTTGACAATTAATGCAAAACATGGTGAGGTTTCAAGAGCTATGCGAAACAGGGGAGTTGAGATCTTTCTGATGAACCAGAATTTAAGTATAAACGGATGCAGCAATGCGGCTGAGGATAGTGAGAGGAGGGACATTACACGGTTTCTAATTTCCTGTGGCATACCAAGAATGGAGTTGGTTTCGTCTATGAGTGAAGCACACTTGTATGCAAAAGCTGCTGGATTGCGTCTTGGTATAAACATTACACTTCTTGAGATAACAAGATGGGTTCAATTGTTCAAACAACTTCTAATTAAAGGAAATCAGTTTCTTTGGAGCCTTCATCTAAGTTGGGAGCACACTTACCTGCCATCATTGGGTGAAGTGTGCTCTAACATTGTCGAGGAGGGAAAACTTAGGTTTTTGGTTCATTTTGATGTTTCTTCAGCTGATTTGCATTATGGATTTTCGTTATCCTTGCCTGGTGGTTGGCCAGTTGAACAAAAACTAAAGGACTTTATCTGGTATTCAAAGGAAACTTGTGTCCAAAGAAATTGTATGTATTTGCAGTCATTGGGTTCCCAATACGCTGCTTATCAGATAAGCACTTTGAAAAGTAATTCATCCTTGTTGGGACCTATCACTAGCATCCACCCATATATTCTGCCTGCCACGAGTTTATTAGAACTGCAGTTTCCAACCGTTTCTGATAAGCAGTCTGTCAAGCCTTGTGTAACTGGGTTGTTCAATTCAGAATTAGCTGATCAGATGCTTTTTATTGCTGCAAACTGGGTAATGGAGCAATCTACTGAAAATGATCTTAAATTGTATGCCATATGGTTCAATTGGTGCAATCACCTTCTCCAGCCTTACTGCAACTTCTTTGAGAACTACGGAAATATACTTAAGAAAGAAAGTGACCATCCTATTTGGCATAGCATCCTTGAATGTTACAGGGAAATAGTTGCTTATCACAAGATTGATGTTGTTGCTCACCCTATTCCATTGCTTTCAATGAGATTGCTGGATATGACTTGTTCTGTTACCCTTAAAGATTGCCATAACCGGCTTCGCAACTCTCGTAATGGTTTGAGCTTGTTGCGACTTACTTTGCAGCAATGGCAACTCGAGACAAAATTTCCTGACCATGGTATAATGGAAGTCACTATGTTGCCAGCATTGAAGTCCCTCAGGTGCTTGGAGGGTGAGGTACTCAAGATGGTTGTGAAATCACGGAAACTGCTGCAGATATACTCTCGTCTCATTGATTATCACAGGTCAATATGGAAGATGATACTCTTATCTCAGTTTGAGGGCTTGCCAGTTGTTTGGAATCTTTTGAAGAAGGAAATACTAAAGTTGCAACCGAAATTCCCAGTAGAAGTCGGTATCTTTTTGGTAAGTAACCATCCTTTTCTTTGCATTGTGAATTTGTGATACCACATAATGATTGGATAATGATACCATGGTTATACAGATGGAAAGTGTCAATCTCAACAGCCTCCAAGATTTCAATTTACATTATGACAAACCAACTTTGTGGGTTTATGGTGGCCACCCTATTGTACCATCATCTGGTAGAATCTTCTACAAAATCCAAGACATCTTAGCATTTTCTGCAGCTGTTTGGCCAAGGAAGAATCTTCTGAAGGGACATTTTGATGGTAAATTATATATTATGGATCAGAACATTTATAAATCTTCCAGATCTAATCATCTTGTTGATTGCAGACAACCAACACTTCGTTGATGCTATGTTGTCAGCCAATCAGGATCTTAGAAACCTTGCGATGGAAGGTACTCTTATATTTGTCCAACAGATCTTTTTGAGGCTGTACATTGGAATTGCTTCTATAAGCCTGTATTCAGAGGCAGCTTCTGTGTTTGTAGAGTTCTTTTTTGTGGTCTATTTTTAATCTGTATTGCTCGAATGCTTCAAAGCAGTGGAAGCACACTTAAATGCTCGAAGTGCATTTTTATTTAATTTTGCAGTGTTAGCTTTGGTTTCTTTTTTCCCTCGAAAACGCAGAAGAGCTGCATTTCATTACTTAACTTTGGTTTCTTATTACTGTTTTTAACTTTATGCCAAGGTCTTTCTATGGCTTCTCTTGCTGCAACTATCACCGAGGAAGAAGATTCAACAGTATTGGCCCAGTTGGATGAAGTTCACAAGGTTCTTTTGTACTCGGTGTAATGTTATATGATATGTTACCCCCCTAAAATTTATTGACTTACTGCATTTTCTTTATGCAGAGGCTTGTTGAGAAGGTTGACTGGGAGAAGAAAAATCTTGAATTTTTGTCCAAGGCTTCAACTACTGAAGTAAAATTCTGTTGCTCTGTCTCATCAGATGTTTTATGTAACATGCACGGTTTCCATGGTTGGGTAGCAAGTCTTCCTTTGCTCAACTTGAAGAGCCTGAACCTGGATACTGTGTTACTGCAACGGCTATCCAAGTGTGCACAATTGGACTCCTCTGAATCTCATCAGGTCCTCCCCCTTTCCCTATGTTAGTATGTGTGTCTCTGTGTTGTTAAACTGTATTCGGATTTTAGCTTATAGAATTTGTTGATCTGCAATCATCTCATGTATCATGTTGTTGGTACTTCATCTGCAACAACTGCCCTTCAGATTTTGTGGCATGCATATTTGCCTAGTAATTTTCTCTTATGACACAGATTATTGCAAACATTGAATATATGCTCAAGTATGCTATGGACTTCCAATTGGGATCATCTTCAAGATCTCCCTTTGAGTTTACTCAACATCAGATCATTTGGTGGATTCATCATGCTTGGGCCACAGTTGATAACGGTAAAAGATGATCTCTGCATTTTGATTAGAACATATCAATTTGTTTTTGTTTTAGCTTACAAGTTGGCACTCGAATGTTCTGCAGTGCATGTAAAAGTTGCTAGTTCTATTCTTGAAATGTGGTACAACTACCATACTTTTTTGTGGACATATTGCTCTGGGAGACCAAAGGTTTTTCCTCGCAAGACTCTTCATACAGTTCCAGAGTTATATGGAGATTTCATGATTCCTTTGTTATCTGATTAGCCCCATTTTCAGGTTCAGTTCTCAGTTACCCATGATGAAACCTGCGACCTTGCACACCTGACAAAAATGGATGCAATCGATACCATCCTGTATGATGAGTTTTATTTTCGTCCATTTTTTCCCTTTGTGCTAGAAACAGTGAAGGGATCTTTCCTTTTGATTGCTATTGTATTTCTCTGCTCCTTCCTTCTGGGCTGCTGAGATGTTTCTGCCTTAAGGGATACCAATTGCAAAGAATTCTCTTAATACCCTCCGTTTCTGCAGTCAAGAGGATTTACGTGTGATGGATTATCAGAAGAACCGTTTAGTGCTTCGAATTTCATCAAGAAACCTCTGGGAAGGTGTCTCGTTTGCGGGAAACTTTGTTCTTAGTCTACATTCTGCTGCTGATTCCCTCTTTAAACAGGTATCAGTCCATTAATCTGTGTTTGTGTTGATGCACCCTTTGGAATATATATTCTGATGTCCTATTTGCAGATCATAGTTGTCCATAAGAAGCATTTCAAGCAAGAAGAGTATAGCAAGTTAGAGTCCATCCTCTTCCAACAGTCTGAACATCGTGTAAAGGTTTGTGCGTCATTCTTCTGACGTGATTTTAGATCTCATGTACCACATGTTTTTGCAAATTGCATGCTATTATATTCTTGTTTTTAATCTGTCCCACCTCTTTAGCTCTAAGTCATGTAGAAATCAATATATTCTTGTTCATTTTAAGGGGACTGAAGCTTTGTTGGAACATGTTAAGTTCTGTTTTGGAAAGTTCTGGACGTATTAGTTTGTAAGGATTGACAACTGTAACCTTGATTTCCTGTGCATCTGTTAGTAGATATTTGTGTGTATGTGAAGCTAAAATGACAAATAACATAGTCACTTTGAACAGACACAGTGCCACATATGACAAAATATAACCCTCACAATGCTACAGATGAGTGCAGTTCCCAAACTAGGAAACAAGGATAGCTTAATACATTTGTATGGTGGTTGCTTCAGTTCTTAGTCAACTTATAATCAGATATCTTTGTAACTGTGTTTTGTAGTCATATATGAACTTAATCAAGTGATCAACAAGCTATTTTTTAAGAGGCAGTTATGTTTGAGGTACCAAAGCATCTAGGATGATGACCCATTGTGGGATCATTCCTCAAATACGGTGGGATGGCTCCACTCATTGCTTCACCTAGTATGTACGTTTGAGGGATGAGGTGATGATGGATCAGTCTATTCCATTCCTCAGACCAAACAAACTATTTAGGATCAAATGGTCAATGAATCATCTCAAACCTCAAACCAGACAGCCCATAAATGTATTCCATAGTGACATTTTTGTCTTGTTATTTCTTCTTTTCTGTGAACAATTTCCACTCTGACCATTGCAGCATCTTTGTGGACAGCAGTATTGTTTAACAAGTTATCTGTTTCGCTTTTAAGCTTTCTTTGCTGGTGGTTCGTATTTTCATGGTCTGTCTTGTTCTGTTGCAGAAAGAAGATCTTGACACTGCCTGTGCGCTGTTATCACGTTCAAGTCATGGAGTATTGGCTTCACTCGCTGGCTCGCATGAGCTAATAGGGTCCTTACTTCTGGAATTGCACTCACCGTTCTCACAGGGTGTGTTCTTTTTTATCTCTTCTCAATGAATGATTGAATCTCCATTTCATAGCTTGTTAGCCATTATGGTCTCCCTGAACAGAATCTAAAATTGTGTAGATACTAATATCATATTTTGTTTGACTTTCGAAATTGAAGCTAATGTATTCTAGTTAACTTTTTGACATTGTGATATCTGGAGACATTGCTGACAGCATTTAGATGTAGCATGGCTATGACAAATCCTATGCACTTGTTTTTCCTTACCCTGCTGTTGTACTATGAATGGTCTATTGCGTGGTATTTCTTCTTATGCTTTTCTTCTTTGTTTTTTAGTCTTTGTTTGTTCCAATAGGCACTGTGGTTTTGACTTTTGCTTTGATTTTTCCCTGAGTTTTTGTTTATTTCAACTGAACGGTGCATGCTTATTTTAACCTTTTGTGGCATGCAGGTTATTTGATGCATCTTGGGGCTGCTTGGGTGTACATTGGAGAGTTGCGCTTCCGGTTATTGTTGAGCTCATATAATCCAGATCCTGCATTCGAATCCGCTTTCATGCACTCTCATATTCTGGAAAAGATTTCACTACTGGAGCTTGAGGGAAAGGTGAACGGTCTCTTATTTCTTGGGTGCATAATGAATGAATTAACATGCTACATAGAATGCTGTGGCATGTAAACTGTTTTCTCCTTTCTTTTTTACTTGTGTTAATTAGGATATTAACAATATCTGACCTTCACTTTGCCTTTATCTTATATTAACAAAATATTTTGGTGGCATAAACAAGTGTTTTTCATGAGATATACTATTGTCATTTTCACATGACAAATCTAATTTTAAGATTTGGGTGGACACATTCTTAAAAATGACATCTATTTGAGAATGGTAGTAGTACAATGTTAACTGTGGTACTGTATCTTAGTCTGTTATCTTGGACGAAAAAAATCACAACTAGTAAGATTTGTAAGATAAAGCCTGGCTAATTATTCTGTGAGTTGTTGTGTAATAGGTTCGTCATCAGTGTGAGGAATTGGCTGGGTCTAGCTCTGAGGAAGATGGGTATGATCAGAAGTTATTGCAAGAACTCAAAACAAAAGAGAAGAGCATCCGGGCAAAGGTATATATGCTAATCCATTGCTTAATACATAATTTGAAGTTTTAAATATTCCCCATCCTATGATACTATTTCTAAAGTTCATGATGGTTCTTCCAAGCTGCTAGTATTTCTTTCACTGGTTATTCCAACAATTGTTGAGAACAGGCATATGTTAATGTCGAGACACAAGCAAAGAATGGGACATAATAATTTAATATGCTATATTAATGTTTTGAATATGAATGCAGCAACTTGGCCCTTGTTTAGTTCCAAACTTTTTCTTCAAACTTCCAACTTTTCCATCACATCAAAACTTTCCTACACACATAAACTTCCAACTTTTCCGTCACATCGTTTCAATTTCAACCAAACTTCCAATTTTGGTGTGAACTAAACACACCCTTGATGAATCTTCTCAGGACTCCTAAAAATGTCATAGCAATCTGTAGTTATCAGTATCTGTGGCTCTGTTCTGTTCTAGGTGGGTATGTTCAATGTTAGTTATAGACATATTTTGTTCTGTTGGTGATCCTACCTTTAGATCATTGAGCTTGCCTATTGGGCAAGACAGCCGTTCAACAGGTGTTAGTACTCAATATGTATTAATATAAACTACAGACCTGGTTATTATTTTCCTTACGTAATCTGTTATTGTTTTGATAACTATATATCCTTACTCACTTTTTGCAGGTTGTATTTCGACCTCCACAATCTAGGCATAAGAGCCTGATTGTGGCATGCTGTGAGTTTGAGGAACGATTGTCTGAATGCAAGTCTCTGTTGACTAGTTTAAATGGTGATGGAGTTGGGCAATTAGAGATTGATAGAGTCTGCAATTGGCAGGTTAGGTTTGTTGGGACTGGTTTATTTGTCTTCTAGCTGGATTATTTTGTTCTAGTGGCAGTTATCGCTCAATTATATTGATTGGCCCTATAATCGTGCTGTGGCAGATAACATCCAGAAATTTCATCAAGAGACTGACAGAGGAGTATGTGGAATATGTTGATTTGATTCAACCAATTCAAGTTGCTGTATATGAAATGAAACTTGGGTTGGCAATTGCTCTGTCTGGTTATCTTGAGAGGGAATATTTGAAGAAGATTAAAGAAGATGATATTGAACGAGCTCTGGTATGTGTTGCAGCTATGTTTGAATCATACTTAGTGGTGCACTTCTTTTGACCAGATTTGTATCTGTGTCATCAAACAGTAGCTGATAGTAATAAATAAACTTCATGCTATTTTGTTTCCATATGTGTAATACATATACACTGTAAAAACAGATTGTACTTTCCTTGATTAGTGACAGAGAATGTGCACAGTCCTCAATGATGCTGACGGTGCTACTTTAATCTTTTTCTTTGCTGCAGGGTGCAATTTTTGCTATTATGCAATTTCCAAGTGGATCTGCTACTGGCAATGTTTCAGTGGACATGCCCGATTTAACGAAATATGTAAATGATGATCAACTGGAAATTCGCTACAATGAGGTCAGTGACCTTGCTATGTTGAAGAAGCTAGCTGCTGTGTCGAGTCAATTGCATGTTGGTGAAGTGGCTGACAAATTGGTTAGTGAAATGGAAGTGTTTCCCTTCTTATTTCAATTCATGCTGTCTCGTTAGTTATTCAAATGTAGAGATTCAAGCTTTTCATAATGCCTTTTTGCACTCATTACAGAGGTCTCACTCTCAGATGCTAGTATCAATCCATCATATTTCTTTAGTACGGACAACATACCGTGTCTGCTATTCCCTTATCCTGGATAAAACATCTTATCTGGTATGTACTCATTCTCATTTTCACAATTACTTGAAAGGAAATGTGTGATCTTTTACCTGTTTGTCTTTGCAGTCGCTAAAGGAAACATTTGACCAGTTTACAAGCATGTGGGTTGACATGAAATCTAGTTTGAAGGCCAGGGAAAATGATGATTCACAGTATTACAAGTTCAGGTCCCGTATCATTGATATACATGATATCTTTAAAGGAGACGTGCCATCACTTTCAGATATGGATGCAGAAGGCAATGCTGTAGCAGATACTGAAGAAAAGTTAGAGCAGGATTTTCTTAAAATTATGGTATCATATGTTTGAGGATTCTCTTCCAATGCCTTTATTTCTTTTCACTTTTATGTATCAACCCCGTATTCCTGTTTATTTCAGGAGAGAACTGATGAGAAAAATAGTGCTGTTGAAGACTCGTGGGATCTCATACCAGAATCTATTCTGAAATGTATTGTAACAATACATAACCAGTTATTTGGTTCGCCAGACCTTGTTGAGAAGGTAAATAGTGACAGGAGAAAGAGATGATCTTCTGTGAACTTCTTGAACTCATAATCATATGTATGGCACTATAATTTGTAATTTTTGGATGTCCATGAGGATCGAGAAACAAAAATAACGCTATACATTCTGGCACAGCATATTTCTCTCAGATCTATTAGAAAAAAGAAGGATAAAAAAGGAACTGTTGTTCAATAATTGCTTTAGTATTGTTTAAGGAGCTGTTGTTCAATAATTGCTTTAGTGTTGTTCTGTACATAGCTAATTGGTAGTTTTTCTTTTGAATTTATTTCAGCCTAGTAAATGCCAAATTAGTGATGACCTGAAAATTCAATCTTTTATGGACTCATATCAACTGGGAGCAAGAATTCTGAAGGGTAACGTACCATGTCATTTCAAGCAGTGCAGTATTTTGACTTGCAAGAAAATAGTTCTGTATTTTGATTTGCAGTATTTTATGATTATTTTTTCAGACTTGCCAGAATTGACATCTTCAACATTTGATGAGAAACTCATGCCTGAGCATCTACTTCGTGTTTGTCTGGAATATCGACAAACTTGTGCACCATCTTTAGAATGCAACACCTATAACGCTTACAAGGTACAGGATATTCCAAGCTGTACGTTTGATGCCCAATTGTTACTAGCATATCTGATAACCTTTTGCAGGATCCAAACCCTTCTATATTGTTCAAAATGGTTGAGCCATTGACTGCACTTCAAGAAAAAGTTAGATACTTTTTGGACGAGTGGCCTGGTCATCCAGGTCTTCTGAAAATATTAGACATAATTACTTCCCTTTTGGCAATTCCCCTGAGCACTCCACTTTCAAAGGTCTGGTATCCATAAAATGTTTTTGTTTGTATATAACTTATTTGGATTGCAACTAATTATCACACAAATTTCTTATTCTTGAAGGTATTACTTGGATTGCAACTTTTGGTTGGAAAAGCACAAACATTGCAAGAAAATGACTCCAAGTTCTTCTTAAAAGGTAGTGCTGAATCTTGAGTAACCTATTTTAGCAGGACTTGGAGCCTTGCAGTATATTTAGCATCTTTTTTCTAATCTCTGTTGCTCAGGTGGCAGGAGTATAAAACATAGAATGCTGATTAGTGATTACTGTGCTGAATTTGAAAGTTTTATTGATCTCATGTCCCCGAGAATAACACACACACTTCCCACTTTACTTTCTATTTACAACAGCTGCTCTAGACCTCTAGTTCAGATTTAGACCCCTTGGAAGTCTTAAAATATCATCTTTTTTTAACAAGACCAGTAGTCAAGGACTAAACATACAATATTTGATGTAGATGATAAGATTTGGTCAAACTTTTGAAACTTTGACCATCAATAAATTTTCAAACGCTTAGTTTAAAAACAAAACAAAAAAATGGTATGCGTATATTTGCCTTGAAAGCACTATCATAATATCATAGACTCACTAAATTTTATAAAATTATTCAAATATAAAATTTCAAAAGTTGACTGTATCTTGTCCTATATGTCAAATATTTATGACCGGATGGAGGTATTCAGTAAATAGGGTTGTAATAAAAAAGATTTGGTGCTATTAATAAATTCCAGAAGTACAGTTGACCGAGCCCTCATGAAACACAAAAGGGACAGAAATTACAAAGAACCCTACTGTTACAAAATAGATAACTCATCAAACATAGTTGATTATCAAATTTGACAAATTACAAATAAGATTATTAATTTTCTTTTTCTCCACAGACCATCTTCCACAATTATTCATCATTGTGTCTTCATGGCAAAGGCTTGAGTTAGAATGTTGGCCTATACTACTTCAGGAGGTGCTGGAGAAGTACGAGAGCAATGCTCTAAAAGTGAGTTCTACTATGAATATACATTTGTTAATAATTTATTTTTGCTTGATTTTTGGCTGACAGAATATTCTTGGGTGTGTGCAGCTATGGTTTCCATTGCGAGCATTACTCACACAATCCTGTGATATTTCAAAGAACGAGGAAATATCTATAATCAAAAGGTGTCCATCCGTGTTTGCTCTCTCTATTTGGCTCTCTGTATATTTTCTAATGTATTGTTGAACCTAAATTTAGTGTTGAGGAGTTTGTTCAAACATCAAGCATTGGTGAATTCAAGAGAAGGTTGCATCTCCTACTGGCCTTCCATGGTGAACTTTCTGATGGTGCTGGTGTTGGTGCTTATTCAAGGTGAGATCAAGAGTCTTGTTCCACTTTGTTTAGTACAGCATGATTGTTAATTTCATTTTGAATTGCCCATTATAATTTTTCACTGTTCTGAAAACTGGGTGTGCTTTGTTTTGAAAATGGGCATCATTTTCTGACTTTATGTTTCTTGACAGTAACTCGTTGAAGAAAATCCAGAATATTCTGTACAACATGTTTGGGTACTACATGCAGTTCTTGCCACTGTGAGTTGCTTTTCGTGATTTATGTGAAGTTTTTCCTTGTTCATTTCTTCATGGTGGGTTATAACTAACGTTTTCATGACATCAGTGTTCTTGGGGAAATTGAAGGTGGTAAAGGATCAATAGAAAAGGACTTGAAAGATCAGGTCAAGCTTTACCGTTGGGAGCAAGATCCACACAGTGCTTCTATTGAGAATTTCAAGAGGACGAGGCAAAAAGTTTTTAAGCTTCTGCAGTGTTTCAATGTATGTGGTGATTGTTTAGTCTTTTTTTTTTATGTGAAAGGAAGCACTAACTGATACATGATTCATAATTGCTATCAGTTTTTCTAGATAATTGCCATCACATGTTGTAATTGTTGCCATAAAATCTCTAGTTGACTGGCCCAAATTTTAAATCTCTCTTTATGGTATAGTTTGTTACTAATAGCAATCATGTAAGTTACCAGAAAGTTACCTGAAGTGTTTAGTGTTTATTATTGATGTGGGCATTCATTAACTGTTTAGAAAAATGCATTTAATTGGATATTCTGCTTTTATAGGATATTTTGCAAAAACCTGTGATGGTCCTGCTAAATCAAGAATCTGTGGCAAGAAAAGTTCCATGTTGGCTTGATCAACAGATGCCTGAATCAGAGTTTCCTGTTGACCTTGGGAAACTTAGCGGAAGGTTGTCCCATTAAGGCTTTAAGAGTATGGAAATTTTTTAACCACCTATATCATCTACTTAATCTACTATGTTCATTGTGCCAGGTTTTTGTGGTACACTAAGTGGGCAAATCAGGCCAAATTGTCATTTCAAGCTTTACAACATACAAATGCTACTGATATTGGAGTTCATAATGAAGGTCTAGGCTGCACCCTCTCTCTCTCTCTCTCTCTCTCTCTCTCTCTCTCTCTCTCTCTCTCTCTCTCTCTCTCTCTTTCTCGCGTGTCAAAATTGTAATTTTGTTAATCATTTTCTCCTTTTTATCTTCCATAATGAGATTCTGAATTTTTTTTGACAGAGTTTGCGCGTGTAGTTTTCCACAATACAAACTGCCAACAAGCTGAAAGTGAACTTGAGGACAGATTGTATTTCTTTTGGGCTGCAATTGAGCGGATTTGCAATGCAGCTGATTTTGGTTCTATACTGAAAAGTGGTAAGAAGAACCAGAAGAAAACTGCTCTATCCAATTTGTTCAAGACACTTGAGGAATGTGGATTATCGAAGCACAGACCAATGGGTCGTGAGGTATATTACTTGTCAAAAAGCTTGTCTTCATTCCCCACTTGTTGTCAAGTGCACATTTACGTAAGAAATTGAAAATAATACAGGGAAACGAGTTGGCTGCACCAAGCCCATTTTTAGAGCAGTCGTATATCACGACACATTTGCTCCAGCAAGTGATCTCGAAGAAAATGCCTGAAGATGCTAGCGTTGCTCATGCTACCCTCTTGAGCACAAATAACTGGAAAAATGCAAATCAGCAGTACTTCAAATGTTTGGCAATGATGCAACAACTTCGACAAATTTCCTTGAAATTTAACAAAGATCTTGGTTTAGAAGAGGTTAGTCTTCCTTCTAGTATTAATGTACTTAGTGATTATAGTATCAAATTGGCATTTATTGTTTGAAAATTTGCAGGTTAATAGGGCTACATCTTTTATGGATCATCTTTTATCCATCATGTCTGAACAAAGACATTTTGCTTACAATATGTTTGAGCAATTGAATGAGTTTCGGCATGCAATTTTGTTGTTAGGTTCTGGAGGTACTTATTTTGTGATCTGTACATTCCTTTTCTTGTTTTGAAATCCATGTAGTAACTTTTACAAATCCTTTGTAGGTGATAGTGACTACCTTTCGTCATGCCAAAGTGTACTGCTGAATTCCATGTGGCAGCAAAAGGTAAGGTTTGCAGTATGAAAGTCTTACAGTTATTTGGGTAATTGGGGTTTATAGTTTGATGTATCCTTTTTGCATTTTTATGTAGCAATTTTTTGACAACATACTGGCTACGACCATGGATACCAACTTGCTGCTCAGAAGCTTCATCGATTGTCATCATGATCCTTGTGACAACATCCAAGTAGAAGTTTCTGCAATGTCAACGCTTTTTGAAAAGTTCATCGCAAGATTTTCTGAATCTAAGGTAAACCTGTTCATTTCTGCCTTCTTATTGGTCCTGTTTGACCACTCCTATGATCTCTGAGACATGGGGCTTGTATTTGTGGTCTGGTCCAAGAATAATAAGCTCTATTTCCAGTAGAAGCTTCAAATAAGTTGGCGTTAAGACACTTCAAGTTGCTTATTGGAGAAGCTACACCTTTATCAAGCAAGGCCCTGAATACCATTGCTATGCAAACTTAAGCAATATGTGACTAGTAACTCTATTCTATTTTGCAGGACTTGTTAGACAAATACTTACTCGGATCCAATTATATGATCGCTGGCTCACACAAGAATATGCCTCTTGCTACAAGAGAGATGGAGCAACTTGTTGCTGCAAATTGCCAGCTTATCAGCATGTTTAGGGAGGATATCCAAGTTCTATGCCACCAGGATGTTTCGATGAGATCTGTTAAGAAAGTTCTGCTCTCTCGGTTTGAAGAGTTGCTGGAGAAGGTATGTTCTTATATGTATAGAGATCTTAACATATGTAGAATTCTTGTATTCTGATGCTAAGACTGTAACACACACTAATGTTCACTTTATTACTGGACATGGAAGCTATAGATCCCACAAAATAATGTCACAGAAAACTTCATAGCTTCTTTAATCTACTGTATTCTTTTAGGAGTGGCTGGTCGCAATTATACCCTATATTTTATGGCAATTCTATGCACTTTACACATACTTTTTTTTTGCAAAATGCTTTTATTTACCTTTTATTTCTTGTCTGTTTTCTGGATATTTTGGTGCTTAAACATGCATTCCTGTTGCAGGGGAATTCACCAATGGCGATTTTATCCAGAAAAGTTGATGAAGACAAGCATATGCTATCCTCCGATGTCCTACACAATCTTGAAGCTTCATATGCAGAAGCTTTTAAGGAAATCTTTTCACTGGCTGTTGGTGTTGTTGGAAAGCTCACTGATCAGGGAATATCCACCGATGGAACTCATGATTCATTGGAAGGAAATATTACTTTGTGGAAAGATATTTTGCAGACATATGTCATGAACCTTCAAATGGGCCATTTGTTTGATGCTAGTAAAAAACTTACTGTTTCAGTGGTATGCCCCTTCACTTTTTGCGCATCATCTTTTCATCTCTACAGAATTAGATATATTTGCTACATTACTTGACTCCATCTATCACCAACAGAGGAGGCTGGTCGACATTAAACCTGAGTTGCCTTCTAGTATAGGGATGCAGTTAATGCATCTTCATGCTTTGCTTGGTCTGGTCCTATCAGCAGCTGAAGGCATTCTTTCTGAACTTTTAGAAGCTCATAGAACTGTAAGTATTTCATGCTTAGACAATTTTGTTCTCATTTCTTTTTCCCTGTTTTGGGAAAACAGTTTCAGAAAAATTCCTAATCCTGTTTTCTGATGGTTTCAGACATCTGAAATGACTCATGCACTTGGGGATCTTTTGATTCATCTATTTGCGGAAGGCTTTGGTTCCACAGATGATACAACTGAAGATGCTTCAGATGGACCACAGCAGGATGCAACTGGAACTGGCATGGGTGAGGGTGAAGGCAAAGAGAGTGCAAGTTCTAAAATAGATGATATATCCCAACTTGAGGGGACAGCTAATGAAATGGTTAGTGTGATCAAACAATGCTTCCTCGGTTGTCTCTCTATTTCAATTTTTTCTTCCTTTTGAGTTTGAATAGAAATAAAAACAGAGCCTAACCATTTTTTGTGATGTTGAACAGGATGCTCTACGTAAGCCAGACCAAGCTCCTAAGAATGATGATGATGCAGTTGAAATGCAAGACGATTTTAATGCAGAACTGTCTGATGTTTCTGAGGACCCTGAAGGCAATGATTCAGGCGATGAGGATGATGACACGAACTTGGAGAATCAGATGGGTGATACTGGTGATGCAAGTGAAATGGTCGGCAAGAAATCTTGGGATAAGGATGAAGATGATGATCCTAACAGATCCACTGAGAAGTATGAGTCGGGTTCATCAGCCAAGGAGACACAGAAGAATGATAGGGAACTGAGAGCAAAGGACGAAGGTGCTCTTGAAGAAGATCCCATGGAGACAGATTGTGATGAGCAAGGCAAGAATAATAATTTGGAGGATGATCCTAGTACTTGTGAGGATGTTGATCAGGATACGAATGACTTAATGGACAAAGCTGATGCCTATGATGATCGAACAGCACCTGAACTCCCTGAACCAAAGGATGATTCTGAGGATGTGGATATGGATGGGACAGAACATATTGATGAAATGGATGCTGATGGTGAAGAACTCAGTCCAGAAGAGGAAAAGCTAGCAGCAGATGGGTGTTTAGATGCTTCAGACGATGTGGAGGATGTAGATGCAGCTCAACATGGTGACAATGAGATTGATGGTGAGCAGGAGCATGCTGAAGATGGACAGATGGAGACAAATAACATGGAGAAAGAACTTCATAATATTGAGTCACTTGAGCATCCTTCACAAGGCATACAACCAAATAATGCCGAAATGGACTATAACAGAGAATCTGAATCAAACTTGGCTAACAGCACTGATATGAACAGTGCTGCTGCTCCTTCTGTTAATTTTTCAAGCAATGAAGTCCCTAGTCTGGAAATATCTATGCCCAACTCTGGGGATGGCTCTAGGTTATTGTCTAACTCTAAGCCAGAGTTGCAGACTGATACTCCACCATCGCAGATCAAACAGACAAATCCTTTTAGGAGCATTGGAGATGCAATGGCGGACTGGAAAGAACGGGCCAAAGTCTCAGCTGATACGCAGGATCATCAACCAGAAGCTGAACACCATATTGATGATGAAAGTGCTACCGAATTTCGTTATGTGCCGGACAGTGAGCAGAGCACCTCTCAGGCACTGGGTAATGCAACAGCTGATCAAATCAACGATGACCTGCAAGTCAAACAGTCTTCCATGGAGGATGAAAACCGTGTGCAAAAAGAGGAACACAATACTGACAGGGCACCTGGAGATGATCATAATCTTGAAGTGCCACATCTGCAAGCTTCACAATCACGTACCAACAAATCTGAAAATGCCAACAACCTTGAGCATAGAGAGATTCAAACTGATACATATGTTCAGGATTCAGTTCAAGGTGAAACAGACGAGACTTTTGGAGATTTTGTTTCGTTCAAACAACCTCCAGCAGATGAAAAAACAGTTATGCGGGATGATTTAGCCAATGACAGGGAGTTGTCTACTCCGATGGAAATCAACATCACTGATGTAGATATGAAAGGTCCTATTGTTGACTGGAAAAGTGTTGAGCTCACAACTATGAAGTTGTCCCAAGAACTTGCTGAGCAATTGCGCCTTGTCATGGAACCAACTCTTGCAAGTAAGCTTCAAGGAGATTACAGAACTGGAAAGAGAATAAACATGAAAAAGGTACTTCTGTTTCTCACGATCTTGTTTTAATGCTAAAAGAACAGCCTTTTCCATTTTCAAGGTGTTCACTCATATGATGGTGCATTGCTATTTTTTCAGGTTATTCCATATATTGCAAGTCATTTCCGCAGGGATAAGATATGGTTGCGCCGAACTAAACCTAATAAACGTAATTACCAAGTGGTTATTGCTGTGGACGACTCACGGAGTATGTCCGAGGGCAAGTGTGGAAAAGTGGCTATTGAAGCATTAGTTACAGTCTGCCGGGCCATGTCACAACTTGAGGTTGGACAGTTTGCAGTTGCAAGTTTCGGGAAAAAGGGAAATGTCAAAGTGCTACATGATTTCGATCAGGTCTTCAATGGAGAAGCAGGAACGAATGTAGGTTTCATGAAATTGATTGCATGCTCTTTTGCTTTCCAATAAATGAAACTCACGAGCTGTTGCTCACTTTCTTCTCTGATGACAGATGATTTCTAGTTTGTCCTTTGAGCAAGACAACAAACTTGAGGATGAACCAGTTGCTGATCTCTTGATGCATCTGAACACAATGCTTGATACTGCCGTGGCACGGTCACGTACACCGTCAGGGCAAAATCCACTTCAGCAACTCGTACTAATAATATCTGACGGGAAGTTCCACGAAAAGGTACCAGTTTTTCCATCACATAATTTTGTATATCTCACAGTGCCTACCTTTTGGTTCTGATGTTCGCATCGCGTCATTAGGAAAATTTGAAGCGTTGCGTCAGGAATGTCCTTAACAGAAAGAGGATGATCGCATATGTGCTCCTAGATGGTCACGAGGAATCTATCATGGATTCACTGGTGCGTACCCCTCAAATCTCAGTGACATGGTTATCACTTTTCACGATTAGCTAATTAACTGAGTTTGGAATCCTTTTGGCATTGACGTGCAGGAAGTATCCTATCAAGGTACCAAACTAACCATGGGGAAATATATGGACTCCTTTCCATTCCCTTACTATGTCATGCTGAAGAATATTGAAGCACTTCCTCGTACATTGGCTGACTTGCTTAGACAGGTACAGATTATCCTCTGCCTTAGCTCCTGCTATTTACGAACTAATGGATGGTTTACTCATTTCTGTTCTCTGGTCCCTCTCTGTCTGACATGTGGACTTGTCTTCTCTCTGTTGCAGTGGTTTGAGCTCATGCAGAGCGCTAATGAATGATCTTTTGGATGCTCATCAAAGTAACCGGAGGAAGAATGCCCTCGCGCCCATCACTGTAATTTGTGTATAGAATACTACCAAAATTTTGAGTCCCCTAGGCTTCTAGCTGCTTACACACTTTGGGTTAACAACTGTTCCAAGGCCTGAGCTGTGTACAAAATATACCACATTTCGTTGTAAACTGCATTTGAGAAATGCAAGCAATTTTGTAGCTACTACTCATGACTCATGAGCGTCTGGAAAGAAATTTCCTCTTCATTCCCACTGGTCACTGCCCTCTTTTTGTGCGATGATTGCAGCAAAACTTTGAGAAGAGTACTGTCGTTATTTGGTACCTGCCGTCACGTCAGGCACTTAAAATCTTTACCATCCCAAGTATTATCTCCGTTTTTTAATAGATGACGCCGTTGATTTTTTCTCACATGTTTGACCATTCGTCTTATTCAAAAATTTTATGCAAATGTATATGATATAAATTATACTTGAAGTACTATGAGTGATAAAACAACTCATAACAAAATAAATTATAATTAATAAGACGAATGGTTAAACATATGAGAAAAAGTCAACGGTGTCATCTATTAAAAAACGGAGGAAGTATTCTTTTCTAAACTGTGGCGTCTTGTATATTTTGTGCTAATAAATTGTCACGTGTAGTTCCATGTGACAAGTCGAGATAACACTTGTGCTTAGTTCACGCTAAAATTATAAGTTTGGTTGAAATTGGAACGATGTGACGGAAAAATTGAAAGTTTGTGTGTAGAAAAGTTTTGATATGATAAAAAAATTAAAAGTTTGAAGAAAAACATTGGAATTAAACTAGCCCCTAATCACTGGGCAATGCCCAAGACAACACTCATTGGAAATCTGGCATAGCATATCCGTATGTCACCGTCTCGTTGGCGACGTAATCCAGGCGACTTACTGTATAACCCCTACACATCCCTATCCCCATCCAACGTGTACCTGACGCCTGACACCGTAATCCTCATCCTCGCCCTCACCCAGTAACGGCCGGGGCCCCACCTCCCGGTGTGCCTTTTCGTGCTCTGTGGGGCCCACTCGCATTGCCGACTCATACGAAAACCGTTTGCTCTCGCGCCACCCTATGGGCAACCAGCCGCTGACTGTTAGTGGATTCTAGTAGTAGTTGTTTATCTTTGTTCTGTTGTTTCTTATGAGGCGAGATCGATGAAAGACAGGTTCCATTTAGCTGTGAATGGTCTGGTCCATGATTGCATTGAACTATGCAGGCAGATATTTTCCAGCTCACGGCAAGTGCGTTCAACCAAGTTAGCTATTCCATCATAAAAATGTTAATTACCTCCATCCCAAAACACTAGTTGTTTTGAGTTTTTGTTTGATCCTTCTTCATTTTAGAAAATTATAAAATTATTATTTGTTTTATGTATGACACTTTATTATCAGAAGTACTTTAAATATGATTTTATCATTTTCTATATTTGCACTAACTTTTAAATAAGATGAACTGTCAAACGTTATAAGTAATAAGTCAAAACGACATCTAATTTGGGATGTAGGTAGTATTTTTAGAGCAAATTACGCTTTTGGCCACATATTTGCTCTAAGCTTTTTCTTGAAAGTATGATTCCAAGAAACAATTCTTATGTTACATTGTTGAGATTAATTGTTCTATACTACTTTCTCTATCTAAAATGAATCCAATTCTACGGATGAATTTGGATCAATATTTATCTAAATTCATCTATAAAATTTATTTATTTTGTTTGAGACAGTCGGCATTTGAATCATGTGCCAAAGAGATGTCGTTCACGCCATCTTGGGGGGACAAGCACAAACAAAAGATAGGAGAGGAAACACAGCCGTTACCGCCATATTTGAAGGAGGAAAAAAAAAACTAGAGAGAGAAAAAAAAACGTGTTTCCCCACTATAAAACGCGGCCGCACGCGCGCAAGCTCCCCTCCCTCCTTCCCTCCCGCCGTTGCCAACCACCCCCTTCCCCTCCCCCCTCGCCCTCGCCGCCGGCGGCCGTCTCGTCGTCGGTGAGACCTAGAGAGCCAAACAGCGCGTTGGTTGTTGAGCTCGGAGAGGGAGAGAGAGAGAGAGAGAGGATGGAATTGGAGTCGGAGCAGCACGGGTAAGCAAGAAAGAGGGAATCGATCATGTGGTTGGCTGCGAGATTTTTATTACCCTCTGATTCGAGAGCTTTGGTTCTGGAAATCTCATCTCACCTGTGTTTGTTTGCTTGGGCTTTTTTGTTTTTTTTTTGTTTTTTTTTTCTGGCGGGTGAAGCTGCGAGCATTACACGAGGGGATGCAGGATCAGGGCGCCGTGCTGCGGCGAGGTGTTCGGCTGCAGGCATTGCCACAACGAGGCCAAGGTTGGATGGATTCTTCTCTCTTCTTCCAATCCATTTCGCTTTTGAATTTTGATTCTGTTTTTCTTTTTTTGTTGGCTCCTATTGAGGAGAGGAAAATCGTTCAAACGGTACTGATATTGGCTTTTGATTATTTGCTGCAGAATTCGCTCGAGATCCATCTCAATGACCGTCACGAGATCCCCCGCCACGAAATCAAGAAGGTGTTTGTTTGTTCTCACTCTTCTGTTTGATTTTAGCATCAGCTTTCCCTTTTGTTTTCAATTCGTGTAAGCTTTGATGCTTGTCATACCCAATTTCATCCGATATAATCCGTGTCAAATTTATCTGAATTTTGCTTGGACACACAACGCCTGATAGACAAAAAAGAAAAGAAAAAAATCTGCGGTCAATATTTGATGGCGTGTCGCCGGAGAGATCATACCTCAGTTTTCACAAACCTATCAATTTCTTCAGTCCAAAATTCAAAATCCGATTAGTAATTGCCATTTCAGTCTGATGCTGATGCATGCCTCTGGAGCCCTGGACAATGATGTTTGGGACCCCTGCCATGAAGTGGCCAAGAATGCCCCCATCCCAAGAATTTTTTTTTTCCTTTCCTTTCCTTCTCCCCCCCTTCTTCAGATAAGGTTGTCTAATTGTCTTAGTGCTCCATGGGGACAGATTCTTCTTGATATTTTCCATTCCACAACTCAACTTGCACACTAGGTTAGTTTCTGCTACTAGTGACCATTGTCTGGTCCACATGATTGATTGCTTGCTTGCTTGCTTATCTCCATGTGACAATGTCACTAGAAGGATGACGGCAGAGGAGGAAAGGGAAATGACAAAGGCATGTCTCACCATCAGCCAAGATTAACTTGAGTGCGGTCAGCTGATTGATTCCTGAATAATTGAGTAGCAGCACATGATTGATTCGTTTATGTGGCCCAACAGGTGTCCATAGCTAACAGTGCCTCAAATAGTCAAACTGATTGTGCAATTATCACAGCACTAATTTCCTGGGGGAATCTAGTGGATAAGAATTTCAATGGCTGTTACGCTTTTGTCATTATCACTAACTTTCTTAACCAGATTGTGGAGTTACTGAAACTGTTTTACTTTATGGTGTATCACAGGTTATCTGCTCTCTCTGCGACAAAGAACAGGATGTAAGTAGTTTATAGAAAGGTGCAATAGAATTTCTCGAGTGTACAACAGTAGAATTTCTGGATTGTGCTAACTTTTTTTTTTCTGTACTGATCACATGAAAATTGTTCACTTTGATCGACAGGTACAACAGTACTGTTCTGGTTGTGGGGCATGCATGGGGAAATACTTCTGCGAAAAATGCAACTTCTTTGATGATGATGTAAGCATGTTTGGATTACAAATGATGATTCTACGTTACATCTAAGTTTCTAATGTGGCAAGTATGGTTCATAAATGTATGATGATGCTTAACAACCTGACTAACATATTTGTTTGGTTTGTTCCAGGTCTCAAAGAACCAGTATCACTGCGATGGATGCGGCATATGCAGGCAAGTCCTAAATCTATCTCTATGAATTATTTTCTGCATTTACTATTTTATTCAGTTTGATCAATTTTGGATATGCCCATTTTTTTTCCAGAACTGGTGGTGTGGATAAGTTCTTTCACTGCGACAAATGCGGTATGTTCTGCATGATCTTAATGCAATGAGCCAGTGATGCGTATTCCCCAAAATTTTTTGACATTCTCGCCACATGTCGCTGATAAACAAGATTGGTCTAACATTTGCTATTCCTCACTAAACAGGGTGTTGCTACAGTAATGTCTTGAGGGATTCTCATCACTGTGTAGAAGGAGCAATGCATCACAACTGTCCTGTCTGCTTCGAGGTGAGCCTTGCTTTCCACAAATGCATTTGGTATTCAGAAAGGTAGAGAAAAAAAAACAACATTCTCAATTTGTTTCCAGTTCTTGAGATCTGACATAAAAAAATTTGCTCTCCTTTTCCAAATCACAGTACCTATTTGACTCGACGAAGGACATCAGCGTCTTGCACTGCGGGCACACGATCCATCTGGAATGCCTGAACGTGATGAGAGCGCATCATCAGTGAGTGTTCTTCAGACAAAAAACTTCACCTGATAAAACTTTCTCCTAACCAAACCAATGCAATGATTCTGATATCCCCCAGCTTCGCTTGCCCGGTGTGCTCACGGTCGGCCTGCGACATGTCGGACGCGTGGAAGAAGCTCGACGAGGAGGTGGCCGCGACGCCGATGCCGGAGTTCTACCAGAAGAAGATGGTCAGTAAAACACCAAACATTTCTCCAAAATCTCGTGTGCCATTCTTCAGTGAACATTTTTTTAGATAATGGAAATGGATTACATCTCCGGCCTCTGCTCGTAGGCACACAACTAAAAAGTCCAGAAGTGAATAGAAAAGAGCTTAAAAAAAGACGAGATGGGACAAACCCTCAACTTCTACCAATAATATGATCTACTAAAATAATGTTTCTAAAATCATGTAGATTCTATCACAAAATTCTGTAGGTACTACGCCATCCAGACTGGAATAAAAGTTCTTTGGCTACCAATTCTTGAGTGAACATGGCTGGGACTCTGAACAATCCTTTGATGATTCTTCTTCTTCCTCCTCATTCAGATATGGATCCTCTGCAACGACTGCGGCGCGACGTCGAACGTGAACTTCCACGTCCTGGCGCAGAAGTGCCCCGGATGCAGCTCCTACAACACCCGGGAGACCAGAGGCTGCGGCCGCCCTGCAGCCGCGCGCTCCACGGTTTGATTTCAGCAGCAGGAGCAGCAGCAGCAGAGACGAGTTGGCATCCATCTCACAAACTAAGGATGAAATCGAGAGCGACAAACAAGATGCAGAGACGGCTTCCTCTGAACTTAGCCGTCGAGCAAAAGCTGCAAAATCGATCGGCGTCGAGTTTGGTAGACACACTTTGCGCCAAGAGGAGTATGGTGATTTTGGCGCAGTATGCAGCGAGTTGAATAGCCCATATATGTTGTGTTTTCTCTCTCTCTCTTTTTTGTGAGGATATATGTTATGTTTTGAAACTCCAACTATTATTATTACTAAATGATACTCCTAATAAAAGAGAGACATCTTCTCAAGAAAAGAAAAGAAAAGAAATGATAGACACAGTGCCATGCTGATATACATTTCTGGTCAAAGTGAAGCGATGCTACTGATCAACATCTTTAAAAAGTTGGACACCAAGGAAAGATTTGGTGTTGATGATTTTAAGAACTCTCTCCGTTTCTAAATATTTTTCTAAATATTTAACACCGTTAACTTTTTAGTACATATTTGACCATTCATCTTATTCAACAACTTTGATGAAATATGTAAAACTATATGTATACATATAAATATATTTAACAATGAATCAATGATAGGAAAATAATTAATAGTTACTTAAATTTTTTGAATAAAACGAACGGTCAAACATATTTAAAAAAATTAACAACGTCAAATATTTAGAAACAGAGGGAGTCAAATATTTTCAGAGGGAGCAAGAAGCAAATATTTCAGATGAACGTGCTCGAAGAGAATCGAATCCGAGCGGATAGGGTGCATGCCAGCACCCCTGCCATTACTCTACGAGTGCATCTCACTGCTCAACATCTTTGCTAGGCCGTCTCAGATTGTTGCTTTACGGCCCAAAAGACTATATAAAAGCCCAACAATTTCCTCTGGTCCAAGAGAGTTTGCAAGGATGAAAATCTTCTCTAACATAAAAGAAGCCGCATTTCCACATTTTTTCTCCCAACCCCTGTCATTTTCAGTTTCACATATTATTGGTACTTAATTACAGGAATAAGTTGTGGGCTCGGTTGGTCAAAGCCATGCACTGGATATTGGTAGCCCATTTATTGCTAGTGCACTATCCAGATGTCATGAAATCCGTACAGCAAATGACACACAACTGGAGTACTACGGCCCAGTTTAGTTCACAATTTTTTTTTCCTAAAAACATCACATCGAATTTTTGGATAGATCAAATTTTTAGATACATATATGGAGCATCAAATATAGATAAAAACAAAAACCAATTGTGCAGTTAGGGAGGAAATCGCGAGACGAATCTTTTGAGCCTAATTAGTCCATGATTAGCCATAAGTGCTACAATAACCCACATGCGCTAATGATAGATTAATTAGGCTCAAAATCGTCTCGCGGTTTCCAGGCGAGTTATGAAATTAGTTTTCTCGTTCATGTCCGAAAAGCCCTTCCGACATCTGGTCAAACGCCCAAAATAACCCCAAAAAATTTTTCCCCCAACTAAACAGGCCCGCCACCTACTGGGAGTCTGGAACTTGAAGACCGATATATGAAAGTCTCGTTGCCTTGACGCAAACAGCCAATTAACTAGCCAAGCATGCACGTTTACGAAATTATTCAATTATTCCGTTACATTTTATATTGTGGTGCATAAATTTAGTAATAGCTGTTTTTTCCCAATCTCTTTTTTTTTTCCATTTGGACTATAATATTGTTATAGCTATGATCGTTTCAGCAAAAAGATTAGCCATGAAAAATAATTAATAAAGCTATTAGGGTTTAAAAGCCAATGATAAACAATAGACTACGATATAAAAAAAGAAAAAAAATACTCCTCTAAACTATCGTGGTTGACCGAATTACCCCCTGAACCACAAAACCAGATATTTTAAACCCTGAACAATTTATACCGCACGAATAACCCCCTTAGCTCAATCCGGAGCGGTTTTGGTCCTGCATGTCATAAACATGGGCACTGACGTGGAAATCCCATCAACAGAAAATAGAATAAAATAATATAGGGCCCACATGTCATATTAATACCTTCTGTCTGTGTGTGTGATGTTAGCATTGGAGGTGAGCGGCTACGGGCGCGGCTGGGGGAGCGGTGGTGGGCGCGGCTGGGAGGAGGAACCGTTCGGTGGTGAGCGACGATGGGCGCGGATGGGAGGGCGCTCTAGGAGGCATGGCTGGGAGTGCTCTCCAGGCGACGACGAGAGCGGCAATGGTGATGTGGCGCAGAGAGAGAAAGGCAGAGATGTGGCACAAGGGAGAGGAGAGCCCGACGGCAGCCAGGCAGAGCGGTGGCGGTTATGGTGAAGTGGTAGCCCTCCCCCTAGCGGCGATGGAGACCGGCACCGGCGCGGTCGCAGGAGAAGGCACCGACTGGAGCCGTGAAATTCGGCCACAAAGATGGGTTCCCCTGGAGCGATGCCGACGGCCTCGACTGCGGACGCCAGCCAGAGGCTGGGGCCGGCCGTCAGGGGAGCCCACGACAAGGGGACGACGGTCAGTGGTGGCCTCCTGACGACGGGGTCGGCGGAGGAAATCGATGCATAGTAGATCGAGGCGGTGGAGCAGTATCCATCCTCCGACAACGGCGAAGCAAGGCGGGAGCGGAGTCTGGATGCCAGCATCGACGGTGGTGGAGATAGGGCCACACCGGTGAAACTCGGGCAGCGGCAATCCTTGATCGGAGTGGAGGAGTCGGTCGCTTTCCCGGCTGCCCTGGAGGGCGCCGCCACTGCCGCTTGTCATCTCTTTTCTCCTCTCCCCTCTCTCTCCTCTCTCCAGCGGTTGGATGGGGGCAATGGCGACAACGACTAGCTAAAGGAGGCAGGGTTCGAGATGAGGGTGACGGCGACGTGGGCGTCTCTATGGTTGTAGACAAAGGAAGAGGAAAGAGCAGCTTACATGTGGGGGCCCACTAGCTTCATAATAGAGGAAGGATGTGGTGGAGGCTGACATGTGGGGCCAGTGCCACATGTGCGGTCACATAGGACTAAAACCGCTCCGGATTGAGCCAGGGGGGTTATTCGTCCGGTTTAAATTGTCCGGTTTTATGGTTCAGGGGGTAATTGGGTCAACCACACGATAGTTTAGTGGGTAATTCGTACTTTTTTTTTTCTAAAAAAACCTACTCCAACTCTAAAATTAGAGCAATTTTATGGTCCTTGCGGAGGCACCATGAAGTACCATTTTTTCTATTATAAATTTGGTACTTCATGGTACCTAAGTACTATGAGGCACTAAAATTTTGGTACCTCATGGTAGCTCTTCAAGGACCGTAGAATTGCTCCTAAAATTAAGTTTTATAATTTAAGCTGACTCTCATATAAATAGACTTTTAGACTCTCAACATCTAAAAGCACCTTTAAAACATATAAAAAACATACAAGGATAGAAAAAACACATGTATAGAAAAAACACAGTAATTGAAGCGGCATGTTTCTATGAAACAAACAAAGCAAATGAAAGCTTCTAAAAGGTTCAACATTCTACTTATTTCGTATGAAATTAAGCCATAGAAATACAATCGTATGGAAAATTTTCAATCCTTTCCTACGAATCAAAGTGTTTAAGTAATTTCTTAGGAAATTAAATCCTCTAAAATTCTTATAGCAATTCTCTATTTCAAATGGGCCCTAAAGATTAATTTCACAAAAAATTTCTTGGTTTTCGTCAATGAACCTGTCAGCCACTTCGGTACAATATTGCTGTCCACGGCCAAACTGGTCAATGTGGTGGGTGGGGCCTTCTGCCTACACACCTTAACCATCTGACATTTTTTTTTCTATTCTTTCCAGTGAACCATCTCACTTGATTGGCTGATAAAGATCGCTCAACAAATTCTCGGTGCCATCCTCTCTTTACAAATCATCTGTCCTGTGATGCATATCGTGCTATGATATCATGCTCTTCCTCCCTTTCTATGAACAAAAAAAGCTGGGCTATTTTATTTCCCTTTGACACCTAGATCTCGTCATTTTCGAAACAAAAATGAAAAGTGTACAGTTTCATCAACAATTGGCCGGCCAAGCGAAACTAAACTAAGATCATGAATAGAATCCGGACAATGGGTCAGGACCCATGGACCCTTTCACAATCCTCTCATCTTAAATATTTTTTTTTAAAAAAATCTACTAAAGTTTAGCTCAACCTTTTTATCCAACCCTCATATTTTGTATGTCAAAAGTTTGAGCCCATTACCACCTCTCCTATAAGACCGCATTAAGTGTTTTTTTTTCCTGAAAAAAAATCCAGAGCGCAACTTATTCATAGTCAAGCTTGTATATAATTAATTAAATTGTGTCCTTTCTCTTCGGTTGCCATATTCTTTTTAATAGATGCAATTTTTTCTTACATATAAGTCACGACAAACGGGCTATAACCTGCTTCATGCATTGACATAGCATGCCATGATAGTGCATGTATGTTAGTAGCTAGGACCTATGTGTCAGTCACATAAAAAAATTAAAAATTAAACACGTCTTATTAACCTGCCTTCCTTTAAAATTGAAAAGTACTCCTCTCTACCTAAGAGGAGAAAAAAATGTTTTTAATATTTATGTGCTACCGTGGTATACTATGTCAACACACGGAGCAGGTTGAAACCGTTTAGACTTGTATGATACCCAAGATAAGTTCATAGATCCAGAATATATTTTGATAGTTCAGGGATCTGGATGACATATTTACACAAGTTTAGAGACTCCCTATATACTTCACTCTTTTTAAAACTACTCGCTCAATTCAAAATATAGCTATTTTATAAAAAAAAATATAGTTGTATTTTGACATAAAGGGAGTATCATGGAGTTTAGTTCACCTTGATTTAAAACAGTTCTATAAAAATAATATGTATGCATTTTTTTGAAAAAGAATCACAATGTTGATAAATGGAATAGTTTCATTCTTCAGAAAGAACGCCCCTACTGCTCCAAATTGAAAATCTGAGAGGCGGCAACCCGTACGTAATAAAACACGACCTCAGAGTAGTCAAACGCAATCTTACCAGTACTGAAGATAACAATTAACAGATGCAATCATGCAATTGCAAGTGTACTTTGCGCACATATAAATATATAATACTACACTAATGACAAAAACAGCAAACATCACCTGGAGTCCGGGACACCCACACGGAAAAAAATTCTATGCGGCAGCGCATACTCGAAGACTCACTCGCCGTTTTTCCCTTAATTAAGCAACGTAGCTGGCGGGTTTGTGGAGACACGCATTGCCTGATGTGTAGCGCAACCGCGACCTTATGCTACGTGTTTTTACAGCGCCATCATGTCCCTATCAACAGGTGTATGCATGCATGACATAATATCTCCTATCTCCACAGTACGTTTGACTATATATATACATCCATTATGTAGATATCAGTAGTATATTGTTATACATATTTGTCTCTTTTGTTATATCAGTTAGCTATTACGACTAGTAGTATTATTATCTCTTAGACAGAATTATTTGATGCTTGAAACATCAAAAATGACTTACACGTAGCAGTATTTTGCTGTCCCAAACGTCGATTGTTTATTGGGTTTGGAGGAATTTCAACCCATAAAAATAAAAAATTAAAGAAATAGAAAGAAATGCACATATCAATCCATAGGAATTTTTCTTTAAGGTTTAAATGGATAATTTAATTACTTTTTTTTGCGTTCTCTCCCTATAACTTGTAGGAAAATAAAATTTCCTTAATTTGGTTTTCCTATATCTCATTCCTACAAACAGATATTAATAGAAATTAATCCTTAGAAATTCTTCTTTTTTAAAACGAATAAGCCCCAAATATTATGCTGTCACACACGACGTGTCTCTAGCAGCAGCAGCAGAAGCAGCAAACAAAAGAAACTGAGAAACTCGCGCACGTCGTGCTGGCTGAGGCTGATGAGCACGGCGGCCCGTACGTCCCAAGGATCAGTATTACGAACTCCTCCGCGTGGACGAAACGCCGTAAATTAAGATCACAAGAGATCGAGCAAATTCAGGTCACTGGCGAATTGCCTTCGCGTGTACGTAGACGTAGTGCACACACGGCCAAAAACTAGCATCACTATACTGTCGCGGTGTCGCGTCACCGTACGTATCTCAACGCTCCAGATAACACCGGCCGGTTTACACACAAATACCGATGATACCACGCGTAACGAACACCTAGAGTCGCTCATACTACTAGAATATGTTTATTATAGAGCTCTAACTGATCAAGTCTCTTTTTCTTAATGAAGTTAATTGATCAACTCTTAAAAATAACTCCGGAATAAAGTCTGATATAGGGCGTGTGGAGTAATCCGAACCTTACTCCACCCCTTTCTAGTTTATTTTTCTAATATTATTTTAGCCCGACAGCCCGCTTTACTTCTCTTCTAACAATATTAGATTGTGTTCAAACTAGAAAGTCATGAATTTCTAAATTCTAAACGGAAACGGGATGGCTCATTAGTACAGTATTAACTTAAGAAACTAAAAAAAAAAGACTAAATGTGACTTTTTTAAGCAACTTTATTATATAAAATTTTTCGAAAAGTGTGTACGTGAAAAACAAAGAAATAGAAGTTGAGAACTTATCGTACCAAACACATCCTTATAAGAGGTTGAGCTAGAGAATTCTACCACATATAGGCTTATATTTAGGCATGCAACTGGGGAGGGTATGGGTAACCATATCCTTACCCATTTCATAATTAGATTATCCATATGGATAATTTATACGTGGGCCTCACATATAGAAATGGCTCAAAAATTATATAAAGTTGCTTCTCTATATAATAATTCATTCCTATGAAATTCAGTCAAATTTGATAAGTTTTATAATGTGAAAACGAGTTTTAAATTTTGTGTCCGAGTTTTACACACATACATGGAAATGAGAAAGGTGGGTAATAATGAGCATTATCCTCCCCTACCCAAAATTAAAATGCGTAATTCCTTTCTACTTATGTCCTCCCCCAAATAGTATGGGTAAGTGTAATTCCTTTCTACTCCCTCGTTTTAGGTTACAAGACGTTTTGATTTTGGTCAAAGTTAAACTGTTTCAAGTTTGATTGACTTTGTAGACAAATTTAGTAATATTTATAATACTAAATTAGTTTCATCAAATCAATAATTGAATATATTTTCATAATAAATTTGTCTTGGGTTAAAAATGCTACTACTTTTTTTTCTACAAATTTGGTGAACTTAAAATAGTTTAATTTTAATAAAGTCAAAACATCTTGTAAACTGAAACGGAGGGAGTACTCATATTCCCTAAATAGGTATAGGTATATAGTGGCAGCCCTAAATATATTCCCCCAAAGGGATCGTCGTGGCGTCGCCCGTCCCCATCAGCAAGCTAGCTAGCTCGCACGTACGCTTCCTTCCGCTTGATCTGCTGCCAACCACGACACGATCACACGATCCCTTTCCCCCACCCCTCTCACCCGCGGAACGCAACACCCACGGCTCCACGCCCCCACCCCCACCCTCTCCCGTGTTCCACCCCGCCCGCGAATCATATCCCACCCAAAAACCGCCACGCCACCGGCGTGTGTGACGGCACTCGGCACACGCGACGCGAAGCGAAATCCCCCGCGCCACGCCAACCAAGCAACTGCGCGAGGCCAGGCCGCCGGCCGAATCGCCCAAAAAACCCACCACTCCATCGCGCGAACCGCCCCAACCCACGCGCGCGAGACAATTCACTTGCCAGTTGCCGCTTTGGCTCTCAGCTCGCCCCGCCCCGCGGCTGCCTGCGATAAAACCAGCCAAAAGCCAAGTCCAGCCGGGGTGGTGCGTGGTGGTGGTGACTGTCACCCAGCTCAGTCAAAGCCAGCCAGCCAGCCACCGCTGCATCATCCCGCCTGTCTGCCTGCGCGCGCCGGCCAGCCGGCCGCCGCCTCGTCTGCTCCGCCGGTCCAGGTTGGGTCCCCCTCTTGACGAGGGGCGGGAGGGAGGGAGCGAATCTGAGGTGGTGGCTATGGGGTCGCCGGGGGCGGGGAGCAGCGGCGGCGGTGGAGGTGGGCATGAGTGCAGCTTCAAGATCCTGCTCATCGGGGACTCCGGCGTCGGCAAGAGCAGCCTCCTCGTCAGCTTCGTCGTCGCCGCCGCCGCCGCCCACCTCGACGACGACATCGCTCCCACCATCGGTACGTACGTACGTGCCCCCCCACATCACTCCCGGACAGATGCAGCCCACCGATCGCCGTCGTAGCTTACCACCACAACGTACACTAGCTGTTCATCCTAGTATAATTCCGCGACGATTCTACCCATCTGTCGGTGCGCCGCCCAAAAATAAATAAATAAATATAAATCCCAGCTTGGCTACGATCTTGATTAGTTCTTTCCTTGGAAATACGCCTGAAATGCAGCTCAAATGTTGGTTCAGAACTTCAGATTTTGTACTCCAATCAGGTAGGGTACTTTGGTCGTTTTAGTACTAGTGCTAGCTACTACTACTAGTAGTTATTGTGTAGCTCAATCAATACAGCGACCAAACTGAATGTGGGCGATCCTAAATGTGGGATGTTCTCCCTTTTCATTTTCTGGTTCAGTTGGACGAGGATAATGGATCAGTGGTAGGTAGAGGGTTAAGGACATTGGGATTTGGTGGACGAACCTTGTCCTTTTTTCTTGTCCTAGCTGTTTTCTTCCTTTGCTCCTATACTGAACAAGGCCCCAGCTTTCTTCTTGTTGGTTGGGAAATTTCGGTCAGTGTAGCCTTACCCCATAGCCCTTCATGATCGGTCTTATGTGTGGTTAATAAATTTGACCAATGCAGAATTTCTAGTTCACTTCTTCTAGTGTATGGTCATGGTTGTCGTTTCACTTGTTTCATGATTTTTGTTCCACACTGGTTGGCAGGAGTGGATTTTAAGATCAAGTTCCTTACGATTGGTGGAAAGAAATTGAAGCTGACAATATGGGATACTGGTGAGTTCATAACTTGGGTTGTATAGAAATGGCCTGCTTTTCGATGATATTTAGCTTCAGATGTGAATATACAATGTTTGGAAAGCCTTTCTGCGCTTTAGTAGTGTAAAGTGCAAACAATTATCATGCAATACTAAGTATAGTTGATGATCTGTCACATGTGGAATGATGGAATTGCTCTTAGTACATGATTATTTTGAGGGGCTAGCAAATGTTTGCTTGGAGTATATTAAGGTTATGAGTGAAACAGAGTTCATGATATGGTTTACGGGCACTTATTCCGTATATCCTACTAGATGTTGTTCTCCATGTTTAGAAACTTTAGCACACGGTCTTTCTTCTAGCAATAAAAGAGGGCCTCAGTAACTGGTTATGCACGCAATAGTTATTTGATTCAGAGGAAGTAGTTGAATTTCCTGTACAGATCTGATGATGATTGGGCATCTTGAGATCTACTAGTACAAGCTATTGCAAACACCAACTAAAGACAATCCAAGAACATCAATAAGTGAGGAACATGCCTAGAATGATTGAGCAACCTATACTCAGTTTTTAAGCCTCAGTTCACTTCTTTGCAGTAACATACTTTGCTTTCCACTAATTTTGACTTTCCATCCTTTTCTGCTGTCATTAGAATTAGAACTTGTTTTTGTGATTGCTTTGCACCTAATATATTTGGTGTTGTCCCTCCATGTTGCACCTGCCCTGTGCTTACATCATTGCTATTGGAGGTTCTGACTCCTGATTCACAGATTTATAGCCCCACCTGTCCGGTTTGTGCCTAAAATATTTTGGTTCATCCTCCCTGGTACCCCCTTCCCTCCCTACCATCTACCATCAGAGATTCCAATATTCCAGATTTGTAGCCCATTACGTTACTTGCTCTAGATGTCTCAGTATTAACCATCTTACCCAGTCCTTCCTTACAACTGCATTGTTGCTGGAAATTTATGAGTTGTCTATAAACAAAATGAACCATGCTATTGTTGAATGGAAAATGGATTACTTTACAGTATTTCCAATATCTCAAATATTCTGACAGCACTATTATGTTGTGTTGCAGCTGGCCAGGAGAGGTTTAGGACAATTACTAGTTCTTACTACAGAGGTGCTCAAGGCATTATTCTAGGTAAATAACAATTTTGTTAGGTAGGATCGATTGCTCAAATTATAAACATGTTGTTCTGCACTGCTGTAATTTTTAAGATCATATCTTGCAGACTTGTCCAGCCTAATAGTGTGATCCTCACTTAAACTTCCAAGTGTTGTAACATATCAATGTTTGTTTCATCTTGAGACGATTTTATGCTGCACCAAAAATTTCTTCTACCTTGACCATCTGTGCGAACTTTGAAAAACCAAAAGTTATAAATTACATGTATAATTCACCACGGTATTTATTTTTTTATTAATGGTGCTTTGAATAGTTTGTGCCTAGGTTGACTATGCAGAAATTGTTTTATGATAATTAACTTGAGAACCGCTGCTATCTGGTCATTTGTGTTCTTGTTTTCATGCTTCAAACTAGATGAACAACTGACGTGATTTTGTTTACTCCTAGTATATGACGTCACGAAGAGAGAAAGCTTCACAAATCTGGCTGAAGTATGGAGTAAGGAAATAGAGTCACACTCATCAAACAAAGACTGCATAAAAATGCTTGTTGGAAACAAAATTGACAAGGTACTATTTGGCCAAAGTAGTTATTTCTTTGAAAAAAAAAGTGATCCTGGCTGTTCCTGAGTTTTAGCTTTTATTTCATTGATTCAAGTTCATTATAGTATGCCCTTTTCAGCCCTTAAGTTCCATCGATTTCATAAAATACTGTTGAACATCTCATGGGAGCATAGTTGATTTTGATGGTTCTATCTTTCAGGAGGATGAAAGAACTGTCACAAGAGAAGAAGGGCTTGCCTTTGCAGAAGAATCTGGATGCCTATTTCTTGAGAGTAGCGCGAAAACACGAGATAATGTTGAGAAGTGTTTTGAAGAACTCGCACTAAAGGTATGCCTAAGAAAGATACCAGCCCCCATAATTTTGGCCTCGTAACACTTGATATACATTTTCTGCATCAACACGAGTATTTAGTTTCCTTTCATCGATAGCACTAAGAGGTTTTGAATTTGAAGATATTTCCAGTTTCTGGTGAAGGTAGCAACTTGAAACAAATGCTATGCTTTTTCCCCCAAAAAATGAATCAATATATTCTTGCCCCCTTCTTGTTGATGATTTTCATCCGTAGTGAGGTATGGAGGCATTTCCAATAAATCCGATGCAGAGCATACACAAATCGTATATGTTCCTTGATTGCTATAATTCGTGATACATGAAAAAGTGTCGAAAATTTCGGTTTCTTGCTGGTTATTTCTAACTGCGAGTAGGCTAGTTTTATATGATGGATGAGTCATAAACAACTCCCGATTTTTTTTTCGATGGCCCAGATTATGGATGTCCCTAGCCTCTTGGAGGAAGGCTCCTCTTCGGTTGTCAAAAGGAACATTCTGAAGCAGAAGCAAGAAAGTCAAGCAAAGCATGGTGGCGGATGCTGTCAATAGGTCATATGGCGTCCCAAAGCAGATTGTGACATTCCAACCCGAGCTGCTGTGTTGTGTTCTGTTTGTAAATGAGTTGTATTTAAATTGTCTGCGAGTAAATAGGGGCGCAAAAAGGGATCAGCTTGTGAGGTTTTTGGAGAGTGATTAACATTGATTTGTACAAAGTACAACATGCTTCCTTTTTTTTTTCTTTCTATTCATTTTTTTTATATCTTCGCCGTAGGAATGTGCTGCTGTCATTTGCTTTTCTAATCCGTGCTAGTCTTTTTCTTCCCCTATTCATCATGAGACAACCGTAGTGAAATTGCCAGAATTATGATGAAGCGGCCGAGAACCTGATTGGTGAATTGCTTTATTTTCTCTAGAAGGATGAGTTTGCCAAGTGCCCTTTTTTTGGAAATCTAAAACCAGTTATTCAATCAAAAAAAAATTACTGCAACTGCAAGTACAGCGGAAAAGGACGCGAGAATAAGCAATTTCGTGGGTCGTAGTAATTCACTCGTAATCCTCTTTGCTCCGTGGAACTAACTAGTGTTTCACCCTAGTAACGGTGAATGAGATCGGCGAATGCTGCAGGGTTCTTCTCGTAGTGATCGATCTCAGCCTGCAACGCGCAATTTTTTTTTAGAAAAAAAAGCAGATTATTGGGGCCTAGATTATTAACTGGTCGAAGTATGTCAAGAAGACGGAAAAAAGATGATTTTTTCCCTAACCTTTCGTACAGCAATAACGGCAGTGACAAGTTTATCGCCGATCAATTCATGCATGATTTTGTCTGCAGCTAGTGCTTCGACAGATTCCATCAAGTCCTTCGGCATCCTTTTGAGCTTGGAGTTGGAGGCATAACCTGCAGGGTTTGATTCTGCAAAAGATCACAAAACCCATTATACACTTGCAGACGCCCTCTTGGCGAAAATCAAAAGCAAACTATTATTAGACCCGAAAAGGCACACTCGCGAGTATTCAATGGTCAGCAAAGAAGTTGTGAATTTTTCCAGGTTCCAAACCTCATGTTTGCAGGCTAAATACTTGCACTGAAAATCTAAAACTCTCTGAGAGAGACAAAAAAAGAAAAAAATAATGAGAAACTTCGTACCAGTTGGTTCAGGCAACGTAAGGCTTCTCCTGAGTCCATCAATCCCAGCAGCAACTATAGCAGCAAGGCCCAAGTGCGGGTTTGCGCACGCATCGAAGGATTTAATTTCGAAGTTGCTGACGAGATCAAGAGGTATCCCAGGTGGGCATGCAGTTCTCAGTGGAGCCTCCCTGTTCTCCTTCCCCCAGCACTGATATGCACCACTCCATGTGTTTGGCTGAATTCGGTTGTAGCTATACACGAATAATCCAAGGAACATTGTCGTTAAATAGGGGGTGCATGACACAATGATTTGATTTGATTCCTAGCTAATCTGGTATTTATCAAACAAAATATATTGACTTGCCCAGATTCTAGAGAACAAAATGCGTTCACACTCTGTGCTTGTGCAAGATACTGATACCAAATTGAGTTATAAGAATTTTCATCAAATTGAATAGGTAATCTTGTTGCTTTACTATGTACATATATTACCTGTTTGGGTGAGGAGCAGTGAATGCCAAGATTGATGGAAGATGGAGATATACTCCAGCAAGGAAGCTTTCTCCGATTCTTGACATTCCATAGTAATTATATTCACTTGATCCCATGAACACATTCTGATCGAATTCCCATAAACTCAGATGCACATGAGAACCGGATCCAATATCATTCAAGTCAGGTCTGGAAAGTGTCAAGCAAAACAAATTATCAGATACGAGATACTGAAGCCAGAGGTCTCACTTTCCAGAAAGGCAACATACATATAGTTTCAGACTGTAAAACATTGGGATGACAGAGGTAGGAAGTGTTTTTATTTAACTAATTGTAGCTCATTTCTGTGCTCTTTATCCAAAAAATGTTTTTTTTCACAGGTAAAATAGGGTATAGATTAGAGATATGCTGTTTAACATACTCATTTTCAGCTTAAGCAACCTCTATAGTTATTCGTCCATGATCATAACATTGAAGAAACAAAGTTTGTCTAACACATAGGACTTGTATGCAGATAACTGAAAAATTGAACAATATTTATGCTGATCCAACAACTTACTTTGGAAGAAAAGTTGCAAGTAGCCCATGCTTTCGAGCAACTGATTTAATAATCTCACGGGCATATATCAGTTTGTCAGCAGCAAGAGTGCACAACACATACTTCAAGGCTATCTCAAACTGCCCTTTTCCAGATTCAGCATGCAGCTGTTACATTTTTTATTATGGAAAAATGAAGGTGTAACATAGAAATACAATCCATCACCACAACATTGCATATGATGATCCAAAGGTAATCAAATGATAACAAAAGTTTTAGTTCTAAAAGTAGCGCCTAACAAAAATGATAAAACTACTCACCTGCTCAACCACAATTTCCGCCGCTTTAAGAGAAGTATATACTTCTTGCAACACAGATGATGCACCATCGAATGCTGTAGTTGAGCAGTAGGGGGTATTGTCAAATGGGACCCACAGCTCCTTTTCACCACTGAATGATCATTTAATTAGTGAATCGATTGCATATTTGCCATTATCAATTAGCATAAATAACATGGAACTTTTAACATATTAATTTTATAGAGGTGGGAAAAACTGTGTACCTTACTACTTTTTTACGTAGGAAAAATTCATTCTCAAAACCTGCCATCATTGTCTGAAAATGACAAACACCTAAGCATTAGAAGAAAAATAAACGAACCAATAGAATCAACAAGACAAATATACTTCCTGAAGGTATATAAACATAAGTATGGGCTTAGTTACCACATTAAACTCATCTAGCAGAACTTTTGTGACTTTTCTCAAGGTATTTCTGGGACAGTATTCCCAGGCTTCCCCAGGCCTTATATGCATTTCAGCCATTACCATTTCTTCGCGTCTTGACCTTGCACAAACAGCAATCCACCATTATATGATGTTCAGAAGTGACATTATTCAATTAAGAACTAATGCTGCCATAATTAAGTAAACTTTAGTAAACACTAACAAGGATGAAAATAAAAAGTGTCATAATGGGTGAACAGGTGGCCTACTTGAAAAGAGTATCATTGAAATATACATAAAAAATCAAGTTTACCATGGAAGCCTCAATAGTGTTGACATATCCGGCATAAGCCTGATCTCTCCTACACCAGTAAGGTTTGTTCCATCTGCTGGGCCATCAGTAAATGAAGTCATTCCCATCGATGCAAAAGTCAGACCAATACCCTTTTTCCTAGCAATTTCATAAAATCTTCCGGCTGGCACAACCTGAAAATACGATCTTTTGAGCAATAAATAAAATTTAAGAGAACATGTGTAACAGGATAACTTAAAGCCATAAAACTACAAGAAATGGCAAAACCGTGTGTGGTAGGAAAGATATGCTTACGCGGCACCTATGTTGACCTGAAGTATCAATCCAGACGACTCGAACAAAGAGCACATCTTGTTCAGATAATGGTATGCCGTTGTCAGCTATTGCTGTTATCTGACCGACTGACCCGTTGGCAACATTCAACTTGTATAGATACAATGCATTTCGTCTAAATATGTCCTCAACTGCTTCAATAGCTTCTTGAATGCTAAGGTCACCATCTTCACATGCAGCTGAGAGTACACGATAAACAACATCACGTGCCCTCCTTGCACCTGTAAATCAAACTCCATAGTTTTGCACATTTTTTTAAGAGCTTTACTATATAATGACTTTTCACTTAACTTATGGAACAATTATGGCTAAGGAATGTACCTAGGTAATATGTCTCTGGAAAAGCATAACCATCTGTGCTGAACATGACCTAGAAATGATAAAATTAGAAATGTAAAGCATGGCATATCTTCAAAATGGGCAAAAACTAGTTGCAGATATATAAGTGAAAATATTACACTCGTCCAGGTTCTTGCAAAATAGATCAGAATGAAATTCTTTTACAAAGGCACCTTGAGTGAATACTACAATGAGAACTAACATAATGAAAATTAGATGCACTTCAAGCATGTAGGAGGGAAAGAAATTCCCAGACCTCTACTGCAAAATATTGCAGTAATCCTACAAAGCAACAATTGTTAATGGGATTCTGTATTTATCAGTTCTATTATTCATTATCAATAATTTACATGGTATGGTAAAACAGGGGGGGCAATATGATATTGAGTTGCCAGAAAATAAAACACAGTTCAGCTTTCCATAAATCAGTGGAACATACAGGTAAAATGTGGACTGTTTCAATAACCTCAAAAAAAAAAAGGAAGCAATTATCCAGAAGACAGAGATTTTACCTTCTTTATGGGAGCTAGCTCAAGGAGCTCTTTAATTGATGATGTCATTCCTTGAACACTAAGTTTTGGAATTGCCAAGCCAAAATCAAGGTATACCTGTTTGTTTTAAACAATTAAAACATAAAGTCCATCAAAGGCAATGCATAAGTCATCAATCATATAAGGATCCCACCTGGGAGTACACTGATGCTAGATATGATGCTTCCTTTGAAAATGGATAAGAGGCATGTAAAAGAACAATTTGGCACTTAGAGAATCTTGTGTCCTCAAGAACAGCACGCAGATGGAGAGGGTTGCACTTTCGCAAGTCCAGGTCCTTATCTCCAAATCTGAAAAAGGGTGGAAATTAATTGAAATATTGAAAGTTTAAAACAGAATAATCATATTTTAGGATTAAAATGTTGTCATCACCCTGTGTGAATCTGCATTGGCAGGTGATATGATACAGCAATTTCAAGACTGCAAGTAAATAGATAGTCAATCAGGTTCTTATTTGTAATCCGAAGAGGCCTCTGACCTGAAAAGGATAAAATAGTCCAGGTGTATAAAATATTGATGGATCCAACAATGTGTTCTCACTCTCTCCTCTCTCTCTCCGCAAAAAAATACATTACCTGATAACTCCTTACGTAGTCCATCCTCTGCATCTGTCTTGCTAATATTTGGATCAATCTCTAAGCCACTTCTATATGCAGCTATACTTTTCAATCCAACAATTTTGTTGGCAACTGTGATAAATTAGTTAAGGAAATCAATACATTCTAAAACAGTATACAACAAGAACTATCCACTGCGCCTGAAAACAAATACTGGGGAGGATATGATTTCAGCTTAGTGACAAAAATTTCAGTAAAAGAGTCAAGTGTCCAGCTTGATGCGCTGAATGATTCCTGAAAAAAGTTTATTACTCATAGATGCTAACAGAATTATGAAAGCTGACAAACTTTGTAAAATGGAGAAAAGGTACAACTTTGGAGAAAATAGACAGGTCAGAACGATAAAAAAAATGCACTCACATCATTAATAATTGTTTCTGCCAGCTTTTCAATCCTCAGAATTCTGCCAACTGTAGGAGCAAACGCCTTGTGTGCCTCCAGTTCAAGCATCTTGTCAAAGTCTATGCCATCATCTATAAGAATTGCAGATAAGTTGGCAGCCTTGAAGCACTTTGAGCTTATAGACGACAACCCTTCAGCCCTTCTGAACTCCTCCACCTTCTCAAGTGAAGCTTCACAGTTGTACAATGCAGCGATGTCCCTCAGGCTTCTCTGCATTTCACGACGTTCCAAACGATCTAATGAGCTTCTAAAAACCATACTCTTAGTTGCAACGAAACAACTACGAATACAGCATTACGAAAGCAAGAATGTACTAGCAACATTTGCAGGTTGGAACAAACAGAGAGCTACGACTCATATACAGCATCCTAACACTGCACAGAGTACAGACAAAAGTGGTCCACATGACCACATCACATGCATGCATGCCGGCATGGACACCTGCTGAAACGCACATAATTTCTCAGACAGAAGTAGAACAGTGAAGCAGTGAACCATGCCGAAATGGCCCAGTAACTCCTCTCATGTGTCATGGACCCTAGCAACGTTTCCATTCCATTGCTCGCATCGCACGCCTCGGTGCCCACATCCACCACCACTGAGCTCTCCTTGACAGGGCAAAGAGACGAGACAAAAAAAAGGCGTGTACTACTCAACAGTGCTGCTACTATGGGAAATTGGCAAAGCCGACATAAAGCCTGTGGCCTCTGCCATGCCACCAGTTAAAAGAGAAGGACGGATTCCGCATATTCCACTATAAACCACATCGCCAATCTCGGTAATAAAATGGATCATGGAGACGATAAAGTTCGCATTCCGTTTTCATTTCTGCCCTGAAACTACTCTCCGAAATCCACCAGTGGTGGCGGTGGTGGTGGACTGGTGGTTGCAGTTCTGAACCTGAGTTGAACACAAATTTCTCTCGGAAAAAATTCATTGGATTAAGACAGAATTACTGTTGACTCGGCTTTCGGAGTAACCAAATCCAGTGAAATACAGTGATTCATTTTTTTTTCAGATGACAACAGTAAATTTTCACTGCAAAAATTATCTGCATCACTCAACAGTGTATATATTTTTTATTTTGCAAATGAAAACTCTGCAGCCGACTCAATCTAGCACACACTGTTACGCGAACTAGTCTGACGAACAGAGTAGGGGAAGCGCACAAGTCGTAGCCGTCGCGATCTCGAGCAGCACACGGAAGTAAGCGGCGTAGGCGACCCAACGGGGCCGTGCGGATAAACGGAGCTGAGAACTGCATGTGTACCTTGAAGGAGAGGGTGTGGGGAGCGAGGGCGAGGGCGTCGGCGGCGTCGGCCTCGGAGAAGCAGCGGAGGAAGGGGAACGCGGAGCCGTCGGCGACGAGGTTGTGCGCGTGCGCGTCCACCGCCGCCGCCTCCTCCGCCGCGCGCCGCAGCGCCGCGTACTTGGACTCCATCTCCATCTCCGCCGGGCTCCGGCTCCGGCGGTCGTCGTCGGTGGCCGCCTCGCCGCCGCTCGCTCACTCGCTCGGTGTCTCGAGGATTTTTTTTTTTTTGTTTTGTTTTTAAGAAATTTTTTTTTCTCTCGCTTCGTTTGACCGCGCGGAATTTGCAACGCGGCCACACGGGGCGTGGGGTTTTTATAAGCGGGGCGGCACGAGAGTGGAGGAGGGGCGCTGCCTGCGGGGCACGTGCACCGCAACTGTCCGCTTCGGCTAGTGGGTTAGTGGTGACCGGTCACCGGTGAGCGTCGCAGTTTGATTGGCTGGCTGCCTGGCATGTGGGTCCGGTTTGTCAGTTGTCACTCGGGGGTTGCGTGGGGTTATAATCTAAAGTAATGAAAAAACTAAAGGTGTTCATCACCTAGATGTGCCACGTCATGGGAAAATTAGAACCGTTGGATGCAGCCAGATATTGAACAACAGCCGTTTATTCTCAAAATAACCAAAAGAAAAAGCATGGTCAAGGGACTTCGGAAGTCAACTGGAAGACTCGTGAATCCACCACGGCAATATCCGAAGGTCCGCCAATATTAAAAGCCCATGTGTCCAGCGCGATATATAGGGCATCACGGATATAGCCCAAAATAAAAGAAAAAGTCGAATTTCATGGATATCTCTTTTAATGAACGAAAAATGTTTATTCCTTCCATCATTGAGCCACGTATACTTATATAGCATGAACCTTTGAATTTGGTGTGAACGGTTGGATTAATAATGAAGATCGTTGGAAGAGTCAGGAGACTTCCATCGGAGAGATGAAACAGAAAAGACAAAAGTAATAAAAATCCATTCATGGGGTACCGTTAAGTAAGAGAAATAAAGAAACAACACAGTTAAACTTAATTAAAATAAAAGCTACTAAATAATAGTAAAAAGAGCACTATAATAACTCAAAATAAATCATCGTATTCTTTGCCCACCTAACAACATTTAAATATCTTCCACTAACAACATGGTACTCTAACTCCTAATATTATCACAGCGTATATCTTTAGTATATAATACCTGTAAATCTCACTCTTTGGCAAAACTTAAATATAGTAGTTCCAATAGCTGTAATTACCTAATTAAATTCTAACATATATAATTATTACAAACGATATGCATTTAAAAATGCAAGTCATAGTCCCAATTATTATAGATCTAATTACCTAATTAAATTTTAACATATATAAATGATCGGATTTGTTAGAAAACTTCCACAAATTTTTTGCCCCTAAAACTTTCAGATTTGTCACCATCGGATCGCCTCGAGATTTGTGTATGAAGAAAAAAAATTGTTACAACTAATTTTTCACACATGTCACGTCTAACCAAATCATAGTTGAATACAAGTTTTATATAAGTTATATCGTAGTTACTAATACAATTACAGTGTAGTTACAATGTAATTATACTTCAATTATACTATAGTTACATATCAAAGTTTTTGACTCAAAAAATTTACGATAATTTTTTAGGTATTCCCATGAATGATACTTACCGTTACCGTTACATATAAAAGTGCAAGTCATAGTCGTATGAATGTACGACTTAATTGGCTAGTATGAAGAATGTACGACTTAATTGGCTAGTATGAAACGGAGGAAATATATGAGAGTAAATAGGTAGATCGTTCTTAAACAACTTTCGAAGATAGGAGCAACTATAACCGAAGATTTAAAGGCTTGAGATTTGCCCGCAACTATCACTATCACTTGTGGTAGCAACAGTGATGATGAATCTCTACGATTAGTGACAGACTGACTGAGCACTGCGGTTTGTTGTGGCGGTTGGGTTGGTCTGCTGTTATGTACTCCCTCCGTCCAAAAAAACCAACCTCGTACTAACATGTGACATGTTATGGGGTTCTTTTCTTCTAAAGATGAAATGTGGATGAAGATTAATTTTTTTACATAAAACGAGGTGGTATTAACGTATGATTGATTGAATTTTAATTATTACAAACTTGAAAAGTAGATTAATATAATATTTTAGAGCAACTTTCATATAGAAAATTTTCACATGAAACACACCGTTTAACAGTTTGAAAAGCGTGCCACGGAAATTATTCTTGGAGAAAAGAACGGTAACGAGGTTAGCTTCTTTTATGAGGGAGGGAGTAGGTCCAAGATAGCATTTGGGATTGAGTGGATGAAGAGAACCATTGCCATGAGATAGATAGTTTGCATGAATTATTCTGTTTTCTTTTTTACAAGTTTATAGTTAGTCACTGTAGCTTTTAATTACTCAATCGAAATCACACCCCAAGTAAAAAAAAACAGCTGACGTGACATTATGACGACGTGAGAGTTATGCATTACTATGGAAAGAAGAGGGTTCAGGCTAAATTATGCCACATCATATTTCTGACCAAATGGAACAGGGCCAGGTTAGGTACGTACTCCCTCCGTCCCATAATATATGAAATTTTAAGTTTTTACTTACAACATTTGACCACTCGTCTTATTTAAATTTTTTTGAAATTATTATTTATTTTATTTGTGACTTACTTTATTATCTACAGTATTTTAAGCACAACTTTTTATTTTTAATATTTTTTAAAAAATTGAATAACACGAATGGTCAAACGTTACAAACAAAAACTTAAAATCCCTAATACTGTGGGACGGAGGGAGTAAATGCAAAATGCATTATCCCCAGGCCGTTGGCTAACGAAACCGACGCGTATGGTTCTTGTCGGTGATAATAAGGTTGATTGCAGCATGTACCTGCTTTTGATCGAGTTACTGATTTGGAACTAACGATCGATCAAGCTCAGATATTTTGGGACTGGACGGCACTCCAAACCCATTTAAGGAAGCTTGTTTGCGCGTCACACTCCATAGCTGCCAAGATGTCTGCACTCGGAGTCTGGACTCTGGACGTACTACACCATCCGCTCTTTAAAAAAAATAGATGTGATCCCTCGTAATATAACGAATCTACGAATCTGGATATTGTCTAAATTCATTGTATTAGAAGAGATCACAATCCTATTTAGATTAAGTTTTTTTAGGGAGAGAGTAAGTCTCAAATCTCAACAGGGGAATAGGTTAGCCCAATCATTTCGCTTATACCGATCTTTTTGATAGTTCAAAGGCAACGAACAATTTTATATTATAATTGATGATCACAGTGTTGAAAAAAAAACACAATTCAGATATGTATAATGTACTTTAGGCTTTTAACACCTAAACTTTTGTGTGTAGATCATTATGACAAATTAAAGAAAAACAGACTAATTTGATTTTGACCTTTAATCCAGCCTCAGCGATGGTGATTGCCTGATTGGTGGTGAGAGTGTATAAATGAACTGGTGAAATATTAGCTTTTGTACTAATTCTGTTGCGCCAGATCTCAGAGATAAGTGCAATGCATCATGCACTTTGCAAGTTATTAGTATTTTCTCCGTTTTATATTATAAGATTTTCTAGCATTATCACATTCATATATATGTAAATAAATCTAGACACACACACACACACACATATATATATATATATATATATATATATATATATATATATATATATATATATATATGTTTAGTTCCTCTGTTTTAAAATATGAAACGGACGAATTTAGTAGTTAGTTCCACTGTTAATTCACTTACTCCCTCTGTCTCATAACATAGCAACCTATGACCGGATGTGATATTTCATAGTACAACGAATCTGGACATGTATCTGTCCAGATTCGTTGTCCTATAAAATATCTCGTCCGATTCTTGATTGCTATATTATGAGACGGAGGGAGTAACATGCATCTTACTATCTTAGGGCATGTTCACTTTGATACCATTTTCAACCATACTAATAAATCCTGGTAAAATTTTGGCAATATTGACATGTTGCCAAAATTTTGGTATTGCCAGGTTTATTTTGGCTACAGTCTGAATATGCCCTTGATTATGCAATAATGCTGTACACGTACGCTAGTTAGTACTTTAGTAGTGCTGGAACCAGCACGTACGTGCGCTCCCGTGGCCCGTCGACGTCCCTCCCAGCAAAGCATGGGAAAACGATCGAGCTAGCATAGATCAATGCATCAACTATCGATCAGCAAGTATACATGAACACATGACATTATGTTGCAAGTTGCAACCACCTAAATAGACCAAATTAAATGGAAAATTTAATTTCCTTGTGCTCTTTAATTACAGTTGCATTGCGCAGCATCAACGATCGATCGATGCCTAGACGGATTGGCTGTTGTATTTTTTTTAGATAATGGAATATAACATCTCGGTCTTTACTCAAGAGAGTTACAGCCAATTATTATAGAGAAGCACCTAAACAAGAATGTAGTTCAACAAATCATTGAAAACACCCAATGAACAAAATAAGTAACGAATCTAAAATAAGGAGAACACATTATTGAAGTCTATTTGTGAATCTCCAACCATAATTGATAAAAAGTTGCATAATTATCGTCTCAAGTTTGCAACATGCAACTTGTTTATACCCAAATTTGGCACCTATGGACGAAATAGGGGAAAATTGCCAAAGTTTAGAAAGTGACGGGTTTCCTTCACAGGGCCGATCAGACCACAGGTGTGTGGGCGGTCTGACCGGCCAGTAGGGCCGGTCTGACCGCAGGTATGTGGGCGGTCAGACCGTCAGGGTCCGAGTCCGAGTATGTTTTCGTCGGGTCTCGGGTTTCCTTGCTCGGAAAGGCATGTTTCGAGTTTCCTTTAATTTCTATCCCGAGTTGGACGTGGAGAAGGGCCTGTAGAGGGCAAGACCAACCCCTATTTAAGGGACAAGGCCGGTTCATTGTAAAACCCCCGAATATAATCTATTTGAATCGTTCTTTTACTATGTTTTCTATTTTACCCTAGTTTAGTCCATCTTTGTCGGTTTGCGCCGTAAACCATCCGCCGCTGCTGCGAGAGTGCGACACCTCTTTGTAGGTTTGTCTTGGAAACCTTCCGTTTTGCCCACGAGATGGGTAGTTATCCTCATATCGATTTAAATCGGCCTAGGGGCTGATTTTGATCTCTAAATCGGCTCCGCTAGCCGGTTTAGCTGTTTTTCTCCAAAACCCATCTTAATTTGGCCCTTTAGCTAGATCGAGGTGGTTGGCGACTCTAGGATCACCGCAAGGCGTTTAGGTGCTACGATCGTGCTTGTCGACTTGTCACAAAAAGTTGCCAACATAACTTTTATAAACTCTCGGTTTTCTTCAAACTTTTGTGGTTGCCCCGGTATCGGAGATGGATTGGCTATTGTATACGTACTATGTGTACTTATACCAAAAGCCGAATTGCCAATCGAGCTGCATGCCACGCACTGTGTGTGTGTTGGCAACACCTGACCGACCGATCCATGTTCCGTGATCGATCGGTGTGCGTGCAGTGTGCAGTGCAGTCCAGGGCAGCCGGTGGGGCAAAAAGGGCGTGAAATAATAGGGATGAGATCGTGCGTTTGCACGCACGCACGGTAGGAGGAGTACGTACTGTTGGTGAATCCGCATCGCACTAACAGTTCGCGCGCGCGGCGGAGGAGATTCCTACGCACTACGCAGCCTTTTTTATATCGTAAAGGTTGAGCATCACCAACAGAACGTGAATAATTCACCTTCAAAATTTTGTTATTGGGTTTTCTAAATTAAAAATAAGAAGTGAAAATATATCTCTCTCCAAGAGAAAGTCTCAATTTAATTTCAAAAACTAAAAGTAAGCACTACTGTTGAACTACCAACCGAAATAACTATTTTTCCATTGACCCGGCGCGGAAAAAGATCGTTCCTCCACCCAGCCCACGCGCGGGAAGAAAAAGAAGCTAATGGGTATGAGAGATTAGAATTGGGAGATGTGGCGTCGTTCCTCCTCAAACGAAGAGAGTGATGGATGTGGTGATGAGGTTTCCAAAATATCATAATAGGATTTGTTGGAGGTATTATTTTTCACTAAAATCCAAAAAATCAGGATTGGGGATGGAATAAAAGCACTGTTGGTGATGCTAAGGGCGTTGCCATGCACCGACCATTACCAGGGAGGCGCGCGCGTTGTGTTGCGGCAGTTGCACACGCCCCGCTGTACGTGCGTGCGAGAGAGATCGACTGAAATCACGAGTGTTTCGCTAACTCGTACCGTCGTGCGGCGTCGCGTGGAGAGATCACTCTCTTATATCCAAAATGATTTAAAGGAGGAGATATGACTTATAGGGTATGTCACATTTTATACGAAGATGAATTATTTTGAGACGGAGAGAGTAGACAGCCGAGACTGGATTGTAATTTGCTGAGACGACAACCGGCATGGCGGCAGCAAATTACAGAGTCTTACCTATGTGCGGCGCGCATGCACGTTCATTGTACGGTGGGCCGTGGAGGTGCACGTACGGGCTTCTAAAGTCGTGCGATGATATAATTGACTTTGTATGATCTTTTTCCAAAGTCGTTGGTTTTAAGGATTTTTTTCCCTGCGAGTTGTATAACCGTCCGTGCAATCATAATCCATTTCCAGGTAATTGCAATCGTAATCCATTTCCAAAAAAAACCAATTTTGGAGGAGTGGGGATATTACATCTCCTATATAGAACAAAAGGTTCAGTCTTTTTTAAATGGAGTGAGTATGTACTGTGCTACTTTACAAAAAGAATTCAGTATATTCATTTGGCAAAATTCAGTGTTATCTTCATTTCGGTCAATTAAGCAGGCCAATACTGGGCCATATGATGGCTGAAAAATATATACTTACTCCATTTCATATTATAAGTTATTTGATCTTTTCTTAGTCAAAGTTTTTTTAAGATTTAATCAAATTTATGAAAAAAGATAACATCTACAACACTAAATAAGTTTTACTAAATTTAACATTGAATATATTTTGATAATATGTTTCTTTTATTTATATTGAAAATGTTACTCTATGTTTCTACAAATTTAGTTAAATTTAAAGAAGTTTAACTAAAAAAGTCAAATGACTTATAATATGATAAAACGGAGGGAGTACATGTTTTGCTTCGACAATAACAATCCTTGATGCCCTGCAAACATGTTAACACCAAAACATTTCCCTTCCCATGGCACACAAGTCACAAGTCTCCGTTTTCGTTTCAAAAAGATCTTACTTCCTCCGTTTCACATTGTAAGTCATTTTAGCATTTTCCACATTCATATTCATTTAATGAATCTAGATAAATATATAAGTCTAGATTCATTAACATCAATATGAATGTAGGAAATACTAGAATGACTTACATTGTGAAACAGAGGGAGTAGATAAGTATCCAGAAACAAGATCTGGTCCACTAACCGGACGCGGTCTGGGCCATTATATTATGGGCCCATTATAGGCCTATATAATGGCATATATTAGGAATAAGTTCACTTAGACTCCCTTAATTAGCGACCGAATCTAATTTACATCTCGACCTCCAACTATTAAAACTTCCTTGATGGTTTTGGAGGACGGTTTCGCTGATGTGGCACCCACGTGGCAATGTTGGCCTTGTCTGTGGTGTGCACGTGGCACTCAGGTGACATTAGAATTAAAAACTTTCAACTCATTCTAAAACTTTTAATTTAAAATTTAAGAAATTTTAACTCAAAATTCAAAAACTTTCACCTCAAAGTTTAAAACCTCCAACCCAAATTTTAAAACTTTGAGTTTGATTTTTTTAATTTCAACTCAAATTTAAAACTTTCAATTTAACTTTTTAAAACTTTTAACTCAATTGTTTATATATCATTTTATTATAAAAATGCTAAACATGGATTAGTAATGTTATTAATACCTAGAAGGAATTAGCGGCGGGAGGTGAGGCGTGCCGCGCGCTAGGATCGTGCGCTTGTTTGCGATCTGGCTCACACATTAGGAAGCCCCTAAGAGCATCATCAACAGCATCTTGATATCATTTCCTACATTAGGAAGCCCCTAAGAGCATCACCAACAGCATCTTAATATCATTCCCTATCTGGTATTTTGGGGATTTTTTTTTTGTTAAAAATTACTTCCAACAGATTTCCATAACTAAAATTTTTTGGGATATAATTTTAGAATGCTCTTGATGATTCTCTAATAAACGGGAACATATCTCCCTTAACTGCATGACGTCAAAGCGCCAAAAAGTAGTATAAAGAACATGCAGCCTGATAGATGGATAACATAAGGACATAACATGCAATGCAATGAACCAGACAGAACCCTGAAGATGTCGAAATGGAGAGCCACCGGTGGAATATTAGTACTATGACGTAGGCTAGTAGCAAATCAACCATACTGGACATGGTGGGCATGCAAATCGAACTCTAGCTAACCGATGAACAAAATGGCTAATCGTGGAAAATCAAGGGTGGCCTTGGGCAGCTTGAAAAGGAACAAAATGCAGATCCAGCAGGTAACTGGCCAAAAGAAAGAAAGAAATAGCAACTGAGTCTTTCGGCGGTTGGCCCCAACCATGAAGCTGTGGCTGTGTTTAGTTTCACATCAAAAATAGAAGTTTGAAGAAATTGGAACGATGTGACGGAAAAGTTGGAAGTTTGTGTGTGTATAAAAGTTCAATGTGACGGAAAAGTTAAAAGTTTGAAGAAAAAAATTGGAATCTAAACAGGGCCTGAATAATCAACAATTTAATACAACTATAGAAATAGCCCAAAAATAGTGAATTTTCCTATTGCTTGCTTCATTGTCATCCTCCTAAGGATTGAAAGGGAGATGAATAGAGTGCTTGGTAGGACATGATAATTTAAAGCACAAAACTCCCAAATGGAATAAGATGCATTCGATCCATTATCTTCACAAAGATCAAGAGTAGTTCATTTCAACGTTCCAGATTTGACATCACAAACATTTGTGTTATTATGTTTTCAGCTCACACAAGAAAGGTATACATGCACTTTCTCTCCACAGAACAGAAGGCAAAATGATGTGTGCACTAACTCAGCATATATAGCAAGCCTTCAGTAACTGGTAACCTGATATTAATCGTAAGTTCTTCAATTTCCTAAAAGAAAAAAAAAACCTTCAGTTTTCAAACACTGATGGTTGGTTTCAATTTCTCAGGCCAGGTGTACTGACCTTCATGCTAAACTAAACTGATTTTACATCAAAGTACAATAAGTACTAAAATCAGTAGATGATGAATACCTCAGAATAGAGGCTTAACATGGTAACATTGAGCAAATTTCTTGTTTAAGCAATTAGTACAAACTACAAAGTGCCGATGCATGAATTCAACAAACTAATGTGTTCTGGGTGATAAAATACAACAACAGTGTCCTGCAGAAACACTCATATGAACTAGCTAGCTACAACAAAGCCATATGTGCTTAAGATACACGGTAGTTCAAAAATATTATATCAAGCACAACATTTGAGACTCAGCGCACATAATTCACGAGATGTTCATGAGGAAGCAGGGCATGTATTGACACCATTCTTGCAATCACGAGTAAGATCACTGAATGTCTCCAATTTCCTCTTCCCCCGAAGGAACACCTCAGTGTCAACTGCAACCCTCATGTATCCATCGAATTCAACAGCATTACCATTGCTCAGCTCCTTTGTTTCAGTGTACCACTCGCTGTTCTCATCCCATAAATCCTTGAAGTCATCCAGGAAGTGTGTTCGATACTTACCCTTCATTGGGTCAAAGAATGATTTATCGGGTTCATTGGTTGCAATGTACAAATGCCGGCCAGCACCGACCTTATCATTAAGTGTCGTAAGGAGACTATCTGGAGAAGTATCTCTATCAAGATTTGGCCACAACTGTTTGTTCTGGGCTTTCTCCCCCCTCACAACATGGACTGAATCAAAGTCCCAATCCATCCGGGAGGAAATGGCAGACACGATCTCCATCAATCGACGCGATTTCCACAATAAATACCATGGGCGCTTGATCACTGCCTCCGTCTCACCCTCACATACACGAGACCAGAAGTTATCAGGCTCAACATTCCCAAACTTCCTCATGATCAGTGTGTCCTTGACGTCACGAAGTTGCATCGGGGTCACCTTGATGTCTTCAGTGTAGTGATTCTTCAGTCTATCCTTCTTGTGCCACTTCCCCCAATCTGTCCAGAACTGGCTCTGGTCAATGACCGATGCTGATTGCTTCAAGTGCTCAAAATCAAAGTAGAGCCTAAAATCTCTCTCTTCATCCTTGCCACTTGAAGTATACCGTGAATTGAGGCACACATTAAGGTCCATAACAAGTGTCCGGTTCAAGTACTGTGCCTCACCAAGTGCACACAAGAATCCCCAAACGTAGTGGTTCATGCTCTTGCATCTCTCACCACCGCCCATGTAGATGAGATACTTTCCGCGGCTGAATTCAGACTCAGATTCGACCACCGGTAAATTGTCATTGACAGCTTCACCGACAACTAGCTCCGGCTCGGAGGCGGCCGTGGTGTCTGCATTGGCAGCGTTCTCATCGAGCCTCATCTGCGTCTTGGCCGGCACAAAGTCGGTGACCGGTGCCTCGCGCTTGCCCTTCTTCCCCTTCTTGCCCTTGCGGCGGCCGCTGCGCTTGGCGCCGGTGCCGGAGTGGTACTCGCCCACATTGCCGACGACGAGGTTGCAGGTGTTGACGTCGCGGGTGAGCGTGAAGCGGCGGTAGTCCTTGTAGTAGGTGGTGCGGCCGTTGGTGTCCTCGGCGGGGCGGAAGCGCCATGCGAGGTCGCACTCCATGGGGCTCCCCGGCACGGCGACGGGGCGGCCGAAGCGGTAGAAGTGGAGGTCGGAGAACTTCTCGATCGCCGTGCGCATGAGCAGGTTGAAGAGATCCTTGTCCCCCGTGCAGTCCACCGGCGCCTCCGTGTCGCAGGAGACCGCCTCGACGATGGGGTTCTCCTCCGCCGCGGCGCCCGCGTCCGAGCTGGCGTCGGTGTCAACGGTGACGGCCCGCTCCGCCCCCGACGACTCCTCCTTGGTCGCGACGTCCTCGAGCTTGATGAACGGGACGGCCTCGGCGACGACGGTGGCCTCCGCGGCGGCGGCGGCATCGGAGGAGTTGGCGCCGATGGCGGCGGCGAAGTCCTCGCCGGTGCGGAGGACGGAGTCGTCGGCGAGGAAGGTGGAGTTGGAGGTGGCGGAGGTGAGGAACGCGGTGAGCTGGTGCGATGAGGGGTGGAGGAGCGGGTCGTCGGGGCTGTGGACCGCGGCGAGGAGGGTGAAGGCGAGGACGGCCGCCACGAAGAGCGCGAAGAGGAGGTTGCCCCCGGAGCGCAGCGCGGCGCGCAGGTCGATCCCGATCCCGGTCCCGGTCCCGGCGCCGCCGCGCCACCGCGCCGCGGACAGCGCCCCCGCCCGGCCCAGCATTCCGCCGCCCGGATCTGGCCGCCGCGGCGAGGGGGGAAGAGTGGGGGAGTGAGAGCGAGGTGGGGATCTGGGAGTGGGAGGAGTCGCCGACAAGGCGAGGGTGCGTGCGGCTTACTCCAGTGTTGGTGTTTTTTTACTGGGGAATGTGGCCGCGGTTGCTTGCGGTGGTCGCCGGCGATGGGCGGTGTCGGATGGCCCGTTGACTGGGGTGGCCCGGGAATTGCGGTCTGTTGTTGTGGGCTTTCATGGGCCGGAATTTCGCTTCTTTTTTTTGAATAAGTTCACATGACGTCCCTCAACTTTACGTCGAGTCTAGCTGATATCCCCAGTCCACAATATCAGAAATCTATACCCCTCAACTATCACAAACCGTGCAAAAAAAAAAAAAAAGGTCCTGAGACATTATTGACTCAGTTTTTCCTAGGTTGCGCTGACGTGGCATTACGTGGACCCCACAATTTAGCGTCCTCTATTCTCTTCTCTTCTTTTTCTTCTTCTTCTTCTTCTTCTTCTTCTCTTTTCTCTCCTCTTTTCTTTCATCTCCTCTCTTCTCTACTTCACCAAGACTGAGAGGCCAGCGGGCAAAGCAGGCAGGGGGCGGCGCGGCTATGACTATGAGTACAAAAGAAACAACAGTAAATTTAATAATCCTCAGGTTTCTAAACGATAATTAGATTCACATTTAAGCCGCAGTTGTGCTGCTCTTCTCTCTTGCGTGAATTTCATCAAGCATGTTTCTGGCTAGCGGCGAGATCCTAGCCTCCAACTCCTAGAAGTCCACCTATACCTCCGCCGCCTCTGTCTTGAAGCCCAGCTTTTCATCCCCCTTACATGTACTCGTCCACCTCGTAGCCTCCTATCCTTACCACCGCCTCATACACCCTCCACGTCGCATGCGCCCTCCCCTTCACCACCAACGCGTCAGCTTGTACAAGTCCTCCTCCCCCTCCACGAACCTGCCGCCTTGCTCATTCTCCTCCAGGAACGCCTCCACGAGCGCATCCACAGGGGCGGCGGCGCCGTCCTCGATTATCGGCGAGGAGGACACGAACGTGGCATAGATGGCCAGGTCGGCGTGGTACCAAGGTTCGGCACGATGGACCAGTAGCCATGACGCTGGAGCTCGGCCATGTGGCGAGGAGGTCGCTCTTGAGGAGGCGGCCGAGGAGCGGTCAGAGGAGGTGAGGCGCTTGAGGGATTGCACGGCGAGGATGGCCTTCGTGTAGTGGGAGCGGCCGCACTGGATTGCGCCATGGTTGTCGCACGGGCCACAGGTGATGCGCCCCGCCCCCTTCTTGCTTTGCTCACTGCGCCGCTCGCCGCTGCACTCGCCCGCTGCCCCTGCCTGCTTCGCCTTCTGCCTGCCCCCGCCCTGCCAATCTCGCTGAAGAAGAGAAGAGAGGAGACAAAAGGAAAGAGTAGAGAAAAGAGAAGAAGAAAAGAGAAAAAAAAGAAGAGAAGAGAAGTGAAGTGAAGATATGACACTGACATATGGTGCCCACTATATGCCACGTCTGTGAAACCGAGGAAAAATTGAGTCAATATTATCTCGGGACCTTTTTTTTTTCACACGGCTTGTAATAGTATAGGAGTAGAGATTTATGGTATTGCGGATTCCAAATTTGATCACCGTCATAGCCATCATAGTCGATCCAACGGAAACATAAACATCGAGGACACTTCACCAATATGAAACATCCAGTGTGAGCCACCAAGTAAATCGTGACTCATCTTACCAATCAACGACTCATCTTACCAATCAAATAAAAAGTTAACTTATCTTGTACATACAACTATTTTTCTTTATAAACGACCTCGTGCTAAAAACATACTACCTCCTTTCTTAATATACGACGCTAACGCTGTTGACTTTTTACATACTACTCATACTATTAAAAAAATTAAGTAAATATTTTTTTCTTGATTTATCACTAAAGTAACTTTGAGCATTACTTATAATTTTTAAGATTTATATAAATTTTTTAATAAAACAAATGATCAAAGATTGTGAAAAAAATCAGCAGTATCTTGCTCCCTCCGTCCCATAAAAAATAAATCTATGACCGGATGTGATATATATGTATTGCTAGATTTATAGTATTAGGTTGGTATTTTATGGGACGGAGGGAGTAAATGACTATATCGGACCTTCCAATTGGATTTTACCCAACCGAGAGAGTTACTGTGAAATTTACCCCGGCGAGAAACTGTGGAGGCTGAAGGGGCAATCAGCCAAACAAGTAGGCAGTTGGCAGAGTGGACGGGAGACGGGAGGGAGGCCACCATGGAGAGCTCGCCGCCGCCGCCGCCGCCGACCATCACCGTCCAGGTCAAGTTCGGCGGCCGCACGATCCCGGTGGAGGTCCCGGCCGCCGCCACCGCCGCCGACCTGAAGCGCCTCCTCCAGCCGCTCACCAACGTCCTCCCCCGCGGCCAGAGGCTCATCTGCAAAGGCACCCGATTCCCCCTCCCCCACCCAAACCCTTGACCTCCTCCTGACCGCCAATCTGCTTCCGATTATAGGTTTTGGATACTTATCGTTCTCTTGATGTGGTTGCAGGGAAAGTTCTGGCGGATGCCGCCAGCCTGAGCTCGATGCAGGTGGTGAACGGATCCAAGGTCATGCTCATGGCCTCGCAGGGGCTCCATCAGGGGGTAAATTAAATTAACCGCCTCATCTTTAGTGTTTTTAGCAATTAGCTCCTTTTGGAATGTGGTGAGGTACAGTTTGATTTGAGGGAGCCTTTTGTGGTTGCCGAAGTTGAATGACGATCAGAATTCGTTTTGTAGGTGCCTCCATATGTTAATTAGCTTGATTTTTTACTCCGATTCGACACCATTTCCTCTTAATATTGAGATTCGTGAACTGTGATGTTTGGGGTAAATGGCTGAATAGTTTGTAGTACTGTCATATCCTTGACCCAACCGCACCTCAAGGCAGGATTGCCTATATGCTTTGCCCGTTTGCCGCTTGCGCTAATGTTCTGTGGGACGTCTGCAACAGCCACTTTTCGCAACAAAAATATTTGCCATTTCACAATTGCTACAAGAAATCAAGGACAAGCTCAGTCTGTGGAAACATCGCATCAAATGCAGACATCGCAGCCATATCACCAGCTGGTTACTCGAGCTCAGCTGATCTATGCTGCATTGCTGCCCCAAATGGGAGTTTGCTGCAACAACATCAAGATGAATTATGCTGTAAAATTTGCTTTTATCTTTCTTTTTCCTGTTATATTTCTTTCTGCATTTTCTTCTCTTTCCTTTCTCCCTTTCTCTACTCCTTATTGTACTTGGTTTTTCCTTTTTTCTCTTCTTTCTTCTTTCTTCTTTTTCTTTTTTTTTCTCTTTTCTTGTACCCTCCCCTCTATTTCTCTGTACTCTTGACCTACCATTAATACAATGGTTATAAGGTAGAGTCTCTCTACCTTTTTGCTTAAAAAAAAACCTTATTGCAGTGCCAAAGCAGCGTGAGAAATCAATTTCTTGTCCAATTCATTGTATTGAGCTTACATGTGTTCCACTCTCCAACAGGACGGTCCCATCACTAAGAATAGTAGTGTTCCAGCACCAAGCACGAGAAGAGCCTCAAATGTGAAGGAAGCTCAAATACAAAAGTCGGATACAAATGTCAGTAAAATCCGACCTGAACGTTGGAAAGCAACTGGTATTATTGCATTGTCTGATTCCAGCTTGAAGGTAACTGATTCCAACTTTCTTACATTACTTTTAAACTAAGCAACTTAGCGTAGTTATGCTTTGAAGTTCATGAAACTTTCCATGTCTGCCTTTCTATCAAAAGCAAATTGAAGTGCCTGTGTCAAAACTGCCAATCGTTGGTAAGGAAAAACATGCACATCGCTAGAGTATTATTTGTATACTTTTGTAGTCACCACAGCCTGTAGAAAATACTATAATAGTCTTGAACATACTTTCTTTAATGCATCTGTTTGCAAAATGCTATTCATGAATCATGATTGGAAGACTGATTTATATGGCACAGGCGCACAGCCATTTGACTGCCGCTATCAACTGAATCAGGATTTTCAGTGCATACAAGGCATCTATTATTCATCACCACGTGATAAAGCAGGCCTTTTAGTTGTTCAGCATTCAAGAACTTCATTGATATTCCTTACTATCCATTATCTTTACCCTTTTGAATTAAGAGTCTTATTAGCTGTTTCTCACACTTTTGTTTGTTCAACACTTAGGGTGTGTTTGGTTGCCTGTATGAAGGGTGGCTCGCATCTCCTCAGCAAAATTCGCTGTGTTTGGTTGCCTGCATGGGCATGGGAGCCAGGCTCAGCTGATGCAAAAAGGACCGTTGGGCCAGGCTGAGGGGAAACGCAGGAATCGACCGTAGCTCCTCAGCCAGGCTAGGCTCATGCACACGCGGGGATGAGCGGGTGCAGCCGCGGGATGAGGGGGTGCAGGCAACGGGCAGGGGTCGAGCCATCTCGCAATCCCCTCCCCTCATTTGTTTCCTCAGCAATCGGTCGCCGTCGTCTCCATCAGTTTCCCTCCTCTTCAACGGCTTGAGCCCGGGCAGATCCAGGAGGAAGAAGGCTCGACGAGGGTATCCAGCCGTCTGGTGAGCTCGAGCTCGGCCATATCCAAGGAAGAAGAGGGCCAGATCCAGGAGGAAGAAGAGGGCAAGAGGAAGGAGGGCTCAACGAGGATACCCGGATCTGGTCGCTTGGAGGGCAACGTCGCCACCGCCGGCATCATCTTCCTCCTCTTCTCCTCGTTCTCGCCGGCGCTGTCTTCTTCGTTGGCTCCCAACTCCCTCCTTCAGGACCTGCGATGTTCCGGATCCAGTGGGCAGGGCGTCCGGAAGCAACAGATCCGGAGCCACAAACTCCGACGACAGCGACAGACGGGGCGCAAGGGGGAGGAGCGACGAGCGGCGGTCATGGGCTCTCAGCGTCAGCGGTCTCTGTCGACCAGCGATGGGGACGAAGGCTTCGAGGGCTTTCTCTTTTCTTTTTTTTTTCCTTCTTTTCTTCTTTTTCTCGCCGATTAAGCCCGTGATTAGGAACGTTTACTTGTTTTCTTTTTCTTGCCGATTAAGCACGTGATTAAGGAACGTGTACTGCTACTGCGTAATTTACCGTTTCGATCTTTTATTTTGTGAAAATTAATAATACAGTCCTGTCATGTTACAATTTATTGAGTTTCTATTTGTTCTACCTAATTAAATTTGATACTACATTTTGTTCAAATTTGAAAGATTATAGATTAGATAATATTTATGTATGGTTGGCTAATATCACCATCCAAATAAAGAGACAATTGAGTTCAAAGTACATGCATCCAACCAAACACAATCTTTTGCATACAAGTTTTTATATCCAACCAACCAAACAATATCTCATACGAGCCGGGCTCATCTAATACATACAACCAAACAACTCCTATTGCATCATTCTAACCAGGCTAAACCCAGCCTGGATGAGGCATACGAGCCAGGCTGAGTGCATTCGAGCAACCAAACACACCCTTAATTTCACTTTTGGTTGAATTTTTGGGCTTATACTGTGGTTGTCTTTTCGAGTAGGCAGTGCCTGAAGAAGTATGGGGCTGTGGTTCTTCTATTAGAGTACTGGATGTCAGTAACAACTGTATTGAAGCAATTCCACAAGAAATTGCTGCTCTGAGATCTTTACAGGTAATTGTTCTTCCCCAATATGTTGGTTGAGACATCTTCTTCATTCACAAGGAAATATAATTGAATGTATCATCCTTTCATCTTGTAGAAATTGATCCTGACTGCTAATGATATAGCTGATGGGAACATTTCCTGGGAAGGCCTAACATGTGTTCAAACATTAACAGTTTTATCTCTAAGCCAAAATCGGTAGGTCTGATTTTTCAACATCCTGTTTCATCATGCTATGAATATTTGTTTTGTTGCCAGTGGATATAAACAACCCTTTGTAATTTCCTTAAATAATCTTCTCTTTGTGCTCTCAATAATGAAAACCGCTAAGCTATAATTTTTTTTTCTCCAGACTCTTATATATGTTCTTAGATTCACCCACCTAATATTTCAAACTCCACTTAAACAGTTAGGCTCATACATTGAAAAGAAAAATGTAGCAATGCATAATATCTTAAGCTGGTTCTTTTTTGGGTTAATTAGATACATGCCATTAAAAATTCACCGGTTTTGAAATATACCATTACTATTTGCGTATTTGGAACGATGCCATTGATATTTGTTTGTAATTTCAGTGGTGCCACTAAGACACGTATTTTGCATGTATTGGACGAAAATGCCCTCATCTTCTACCTCTATCCCTCTTCTCTCATCTTCAAGCTCTCTCTCCCCGCTGCTTCAACTCCGGCGCCGTCACCGCCGCTGCTGCTGCCGCTGCCGCGCCGTTGCTGTTCGATGCCGCTGCTGCTCGCCGCTCGCGCTGCTGCTCGCCGCCGCTCCGCATGCTGCTGCCGCCGCACCGCCGCTGCCGCTCACCGCTGCCGTTGCTCCGCCGCCGCTGCCGCTCGCCGCTCGCGCCGCTGCTGCCGTTGTTACTCGCCGCCGCTCCGCACGCTGCCGCCGCCGCTCCGCCGCTGCCGCTCGCCGCTCGCGCCATTGCTGCCGTTGCTGGTCGCCGCCTCTCCGCACGCTGCCGGCTCCGCCGCTGCCGCTCGCTCCGCCACTGCCGCTCGCTCCACCGCTGTTGCTCGCCGCTCGCTGCTGCCGCCGCTCCGCCGCCGCTGCCGCTGCTGCCGTTGCTGCCGCCGCTGCTCCGCCGCTGCCGCTCGCCGCTCGCTCCGACGCTGCCGCTGCTGCCGCTCGCTCCGCCGCCGCTTGCTCCGCCGCCGCCTGTTCTCTGAGCTGTGGAAGAAGGAGAGGGGAGAAAAAGAAGCAAAGAAGGGTAATTTGGTCCAAATTTTTTCGTAAATGGTAGGTAGTGGCATATCTTGAATATGTGTAAAATTGTAATGGCATGGTTCCAAATACGCGAATACTGATGGTATATTTCAAAACTGATAAATTTTTAATGGTATGTATCTAATTAACCCTTGTTTTTTCTTGAATAACTGGAAAGGCCTTGAGGTGCTCAGTTTATCTCAGTGGTTTATGTGGTGCAAATTGTTCTTGTATCCCTTAATTTTCCTGTCTTGTGCCAGCACCCGTGTCATGCTGGGCCAGCAATATCAAAGGTGCCAGGGCAACCTGTCCACGGTAGCAGATTATGGGCATGCTGGCAAGGCACAGTAGACCTTAGGTCTTTATCCATTAGGAAGTTTCATGTCCGCCATTATTGTTTAGAATTGAAGATGACGAGATGATATGTTCTAAATTTATAATTTTTCATGCAGGCTGGTCACTTTACCTTCAAGTTTGGGCTCAATAACTCATTTACGTGAACTTCGTATTGCAAATAACAGGCTTGAGAACTTACCTGTTGAAATAGGGTTACTGAAGCATCTTGAGATTCTGATAGCAAATAATAATAGGTACTGTGCTACTAGTGCTTAACTGAAGTGACTCATTGAAGTCTCATTTTTTTGCTATGCTTATAGCATAATTTACACTTTGTGCTAATGTGAAGAGTTACCTCAAGAGAGGATTTCTGTATATAATATAGTTGTTGATAGATTTTTCACAATCATGTGAGACTTTCAGCCTGTGAGCAGTTCCATTATAGAAAAACTTTTAAAGAAAATGTATTCTATCAAGCCAGAAAATATGTCTTTTCTTATACTTCTAATGAGAATTTACATGATTACTTTTGTTTTGAGAATTGAAAGGTATCCTGACTTCCACACTGCTACAATTTCACTTGTTGGCAGGATAACTTCATTGCCTTCATCTATAGGTGGTTGTGAATCTCTCAATGAGGTGTGTGCTTTATTTCTGTTTCAGTTTTCCTTCTAGTTCTAGGCCATACTGAGCACTTAGCTCTTCTGAGTTTCCATATGGCAATTTCTGGTTCATCAAAATTTTTAATTTCATTAGGTTGATTTGTCATCAAATCTTTTGGCTGAACTGCCAGAGGCTTTTGGAAACCTTCAACATCTCAAGGTATGTGCCTATGGGCCACACATGGAGAAATATATTCCTTAATAAAAGACTAAATCTGCATGCATACTTCTAAGCTATCTTGTTCCTAGCATTGAAACAAGATATTACTAGTGCCCTTGGTTCAAGATGGTACAACTACATGCTTACTCCCCCATTTTAAGGAAGTTTAAGTTGCATGTTCATAACCAATGAACATATAAAAATATTATTTCGCACAACAGTAATGCCACAACAAACCTGATATGTGAGTAGTCAGCGTGAAACATTCCATGCAATTTTGTGGTATCATGTAGCCTGCAGGTTCAGTTTGAACTTAATTTTTTATTTATTATCAGCATACGGTGGACAAAGTTTTGGCTTATGACTTGACAGTTGAGAGAGTCATGAGTATTTATCGTTCATTTGTTATACTCCCTCCGGTCAAAAATATTTTTGTCGGAATTTTAATTGTTTGACCAAACCTTGTCCTAAACAACAGATATTTTTGACTGGAGGGAGTATATGATTATTGCACCAGATCGTTATTAAACTATAGCATTACTAGCTAAACTTGGTCAAAAGATTTACTATCCTGCTGCTTCTAGTTGTTCACTGTATATTATTTATGTCAGAGCAGATGGTTATTTGTGCTTTCCTTTATGGTGATATTTTTTTTCCATTCAATATTTTTTCTTTTGTCTAGCATGGGTGTAATAATCAGTTACATTGTACTGTCATCAGTTTCTAATGTTCCTTTTTTCAAAATAACTTTATTCCATCAGGCTTTGAGTGTACGGAACAATGGTCTTACATCCCTACCTTCAGCTTTCTTCATAAAATGCTCGCAGCTCATTACACTTGATCTCCATGGCACTGAAATCACAAACGACGTTCTTCGGCAGGTATAAGTGACCTAAGTGACCCAAGGCTTCACAGTTATGTAGTGTTTGTTACTTTGTTATGGTCAGTACTCTACTGAATTAAGATAGCTACCAGCATATGCTTAAGACCTGGACAGTTCAGTAATCACTCTCTTAAATAGCCTATTGGTTTCACTTTTTGGGACGCCAAAGTTGATACCCACCACGTTAAATACATAATACATAATACCCACAACGTTGATCAAGTTATATAGTTCAGGGTAAACATGTGGTGAAAACCCCAACTTAGGTGACAACTCGTGTCCATCTACATGTGTGATTTATTTTGATGAATTTAGACGACTTTTTTGGCTTGGGTTTACACGAGTTTTCACCTAAGTTGGGATTTCCACCATATATTTACCTTTCCGTTGCGAAAAAGGCGGATAAGTCGTTTATTTGCTAGCGGTTGCTTTCATTGGTCCTGGCTCTGATGGAGACATTTCAACCTTGCCACTGCTAATGCCAGTTTTTACTTGTGGAAAACAGGTGGACGGTTGGGAGGAGTTTGACGAACGTCGAAGGAAGAAGCATCAAAAGCAGCTCGATTTCCGGGTGGGATCATCAGTTGTGTTCGATGAAGGTGCGGATGACGATTACAGGCGTTTATAAATAAAATCTCTCTTTGGATAAGATTGTGTATTTTATGTCTCCAGCTTAATCCGTTGTCGCAAGAATAACTTGTATACTTAAGAACAAATTAGGAGCTGATGTTGCTACTCACATCAATCCTAGATATGTACTTGTACTTCATCCTTTTTCAAAATCCCTTCTTTTTAGGGATTCTTTAAACTGTTTAGGGCATCAAGAGTGGAAAAACATTACTCCGTCCATTTCTATTTACTCGTGACTGTTGACCAATCCTGTTGTAACTTTGACCACTAATAAATTTTGAATGGTTTGAATTATGATGAACGGAAACTTACTGGATTCAGATTTGCTATTTCACTTGACAGATTTTTGGCTCCTATCTTTTTTTTTCCGTAGGATCTTGCATCAAGATTATGATATCATACTTACAGTTATACTTAGTTACAAAATATTTACACTCAGTTACATAACACTTAAAATCAGTTGCATAGCATTTACACTTAGTTACAATGCACCAAAATTAGATTTTTACAACATTTTTTTCCTCTAGATTTACGCTTTTTGACATGTTTATTTCATTTAAAAAGGGCTATATCAATTAGTTAAAAATTCCGTAAGATTCAAAACTATAAATCTATCGAAAGATTAATAGGTAGTCCCGGATACGGATACAACATAATGCCTTTTTTGTAAATATGGATAATATCACCCTATAAACATTCCATATTTTAATATGCTGTGCGGTCTCCCTCTCTGTTTTACGGTAAAGTAAATATGGATAATATCAGGTGCCAAGTGGAGTAGTATTAAGTGACGGAGGGAGCAGTAATCACTTGTAGACATTAGAGACTTTATACGTATATATATATTAGAAAAAATCCACGTTGCAACCTTGCAACGGTTGGAGGCTATTTTAATCTTATTATTGCTACTATTTAGTTAAGGTGAAATTTACTATGGAAATTCACTTAGTGATATATTTTCTAAGAAAATCATGAGATGCAATTAGTAGTCTAATGTTTTTTTTAAAGAAATTTCTTATACAACTCCTTTTGTATTTTAAAAAACGAACGAACTTAGAAATAGACTCAAATACAAATCTGTGTTTCCAAAAGCGAATAAACTTAAAAATAGACTAATACATGGGTGATTTACCAAAGTACCGATAAAAATATATTTAATTTTTATAATAGTAGAAATAGAGATAGAGATAGAGAAAAAGATAGAGACAGATTTATCATGTACTGTCACTCTACAGATAGAGTATTACCTCACTAAACATTACAAATTTATTATTATTTTATTATGTCACTATACAACTGTCACTCTACATACAAGCCAAAGCTATTCATTTTTTTTTATTCCAACACACCAACAATAATACTCCTATAACACTCCAGCTTATCGGAGAAGCACACGAAGGGGGAGAGAGCTCGGTCACGCGAAGCCGCCATTGACCCGGATGACCTGGCCGTTCACCCACGCCGCGGCGTCGCTGACGAGGAAGGCCACCACCGGCGCGACGTCCGTCGTCTCGGCGATCCGCCCCATCGACCTCTCCTCCACCTTCTTCACGAACGCCTCGTCCTTCCCCGCCATGAACAGCTCCGTCCTCACCGGCCCCGGCGCCACCACGTTCGCCGTCACCCCCTTCGCCGCCACCTCCTTCGCCATGATCCTCGTCATCGCCTCCACCGCGCCGTTCGTCGCCGTGTACGCCGCGTACCCGGGGAGGAGCGTGCCGAGGATGGACGACGAGAACGTCACGACGCGGCCCCCCGCCCCCGCCGGGAAGCGGTTCGCCGCCTCGCGGCACACCAGGAACGTGCCGCGCACGTTGACGGCGAGCATGGCGTCGAAGTCCTCCACGGCGGTGTCGGCCAGCGACGGGTACTTGGACTCCAGGAGGCCCGCGCAGGCGACGACGATGTGCGGCGGCGTGCCGAACGCCTCCTCCGTGCGGTCGAACAGCGCGCGCACCGCCGCCGGGTCGGACACGTCGGCGCGCACCGCCACGGCGCGCGGGAGGGCGGCGGCGCCGCGGGAGTTGAGGTCGGCGGCGAAGGCGTCGGCGTTGGCGGAGTTGGAGGCGTAGTTGACGACGACGCGGGCGCCGAGGGAGGCGAGGTGGGCGCACACCTCGCGGCCGATGCCGCGGGAGCCGCCGGTGACGAGCGCGACGCGGCCGTCGAGCGGGAGCGCGCTGGCTGCTGGCGCCGCCATGGCTTCACACGCACTCACTCGCTCGGGGTGTTGCTGCTTCGCGTGTTTGTTTGGGCGCGCGAGTAGGATTTTTTGGTGTGTTGAGGAGGTGCACGATGGGCAAGCTAGGGTCCTTTTTATAGACGACCAAAAGCTGTAAATGTGACGTACGCGGTGACACTGGGCTGGGTTGATTTTTACTGCTATTGTTATAGATGTGTTGTGAATTATCATGTTCATGATGCAGCCACAAAGGGCCACAGGGATGTAGTTTACTTGTGATCATATGAATTGCTATGTTCATGCAAAAGTAATTATTTAATTAGTATGATAAAATTAACATAACAGATAGACTATTGTACTAGTTGGCTTCAGCAATAGCTGTAAAATGATGTGGACATAATATAGCCAGCAGCCGACTACACTATTAATCTTGCTCTTATGGTAAGGAAAATAGCCCTCACTGTCACGATGACTTGGCTGAGTTCGTTTAGAGGAGATGAAACCGATCTCCTGCACACGAAAAACGGAGCAATGCATTAGCACGTGATTAATTAAGTATTAGCTACTTTTTTTTTAAAAAAAATGATCAATATGATTTATTTTTTCAATATGATCAATATGGGCAAGGGTCTTTTTTATAGACGACCAAAAGCTGTAAATGTGACGTACGCGGTGACACTGGGCTTGGGTTGAATTTTACTGCTATTATGGAAAGGAAAATAGTTTTTTTCCCACCTGCCCTCACTGTCTCGGTGAGTGGTGAGTGGTGACTTCTTCTTTTGACCAACTTCTCCAGGAGTCCAGGTTCTTAGCCCCCGGCGCTTCCCTGTTTAATCCGTTATTTGTTAGTAACAAAAAATTACTTCCTCAGTTTTATATTATAAGTTGTTGGACCTTTTGTTTAAATTTTATTAAGTTTAATCAAGTTTATGAAAAATATTAGCAACATCTAAAATATAAAATTATTTTATTAAATTTAACGTTAAATATATTTTTATAATACATTTATTTTGTGTTAGAAATACTATTATATTTATTTTATAATTTTGTTCAAAAAGTTTGACTAAGAAAAAAAGTCAAACGACTAATAATATAAAACGGATGGAGTAATACATAGGTATATCTTCTATATAAGTACGTGGTCTTAGTGATTAAAAATAAATATTGTAAAATAAATTATGATAACAAATCACAAATTATGTTTAAAATTAAGTTTTACATTTTAAATTTTATAGCTTATAAGTATGAAAACGATGATAGCAGCTCATCTTCTCTGATCACTGATCGGCATCAAGGGACAACCAGACAAGCGCGGTTGCTGTGGTTGTTTAATCGATACGTGGCGCCGTCATACATAGTAGGATAACTATAGTGGCGGCTAAGCAATGATATTATGTTTTTGTCTCAAAAGTATGGAGATGTGACGGACAACTAGGCTATGACTTTTAACTAGGTTGGATATAGTGACGAAGAATACGTACTCATTTGAAAGCAGCTATAATAGCAGACTATAAGCTAACTATAAATAAATTTTAAAAAAAATAAAAGAGAAGAGATAAGAACAGTGTGCTACATATTTGTGGGACCGGACATTAATAGTGTAGTATATGTTTATAGGTAACTATTATATGAATTTGCTATCAAATAGACTATAGATGATTTGGAGCTAGTAGTGGACTGTACTATTACTTGCTCCGATAAGAACAAATGAACGCAACACATAATATATTTATATTGTAATTATATAAAATAGTATAATATTATAATTAACAACTTAAGGCATAAATCATATGAGTAATCACCACACATGAATTAAGCGAGTTTGTCTTGTAATGGTCTTAACATCGTTGTCAACCCGGCATTACACTAGCGACCGGAACTCTCTAAACCTAAGAACAAATTAATACTCAAATTCTAATTACGAGCAACCGCGTGGCTAGATAAAGGTACCATCACTAATTGCTAAATATTTATTCTGAAATTCCAAATATTGATTTTTTTAAAACTAGACAAACATAAAATAAATGAATATTTTATATATCTAAAAAAATTATCTATAACTTTCGTGTTTGGAGAACAATTTAACTAGGGACTACTTTTGGATTACCCTTGCAGCAAAGAACATCAATTTGAAATGGATTTCATGGAATTCCCCAATTTCCTCCTTTTTCCTTGCTCTCTTCTTCCTTGTCTTCTAAATTACATTGTTGAAAATGTAAAAGTTTATCGCATGAGACTATCACAATTATGAGGTTGCTGTGCAACACATTTCTTATGACAAAACTTATGTTTATAATAAAAAATGTATTTATTTTATTTATTAAAAATTCATAAAAAATAAGGAGCATTCAGATAAAGATAGGGCACTTAATGCTCACGACAATATTTTATGGATGCTCCTTATTTTTTATGAATGCATTGTCCTATTAAAATTTCAATTTATTGTATTTATTTTATTAAAAATTTATGTTAAAATTTTATGCACTAATAATTTAGTCTCATTAGTACTTAAAAAAATTAATTGTTTTTCAAGCTTATATTCAAATCTACATCGTAAAGGGCATAAAAGATATTTGCAATCAAACTTAATAGTGAAATGAAGGAAAATGTAACGACAAATGTATGGAAAGATCAAGATGAAATTTCAGAGGAATAAAAAGGATCAGGTAAATTTCAGGATATAAAAGGAACTGAACAAGTTTTCAAGGGTATATATAGAATTTACTACTATAATTCTAATCCCATTACGGCACATGGGCATGGCAATTCTAATCCCGTTTAAATACATAGGCATGGCACTAGTATAGTTCAAAATGGTGGCTTATATTGTTTTTTTTCTCCTATCCTACTACCCTAGCTTCATTTATCAGGACATTTAATAATTTGCCACTTCTAATATGCGGCATTTTACAATATAAGTGTATGATACGTGGGTTCTTATATAGTTATATGTATATGACATATAGATCCAATAACAAACACGTGTAAGTATCAAATAGTTAAATATATCTTGTTGGGATTGACGTTGAATCCTATGTATCTAAAGTTGGTCCCCACTAATTAAGTACGATTAGTGCTATTCTCTATGCTCAAAGCCTGCCCCATCATCTAAATTAGTGAGCCCTTCGATCTATTCCATATACACGTTCTCAGGCATTCGATTCCTCCAACATCTGGTCAATCTAGAGCCACAGGATTGACTCCCTGCGTTTGCCCTACGAAGGAAGAAAGCACGGAGCCCACCTTCTACATCCGCAATTATTCTTCGTCGTTGCATAGAGTATACGTCGCTTTGTCATGCTGATATTCTGCATTTTGCTCGATCATGCAGCTTGCCCTTAAGTTGATCAATAGTAGACCAAATAACCTTATACATAAGTGTGCCATGTCCAGAAATTCGTTGGTGCAAAAGTGCATATATTTTCATACAACTGTGCACATATATCTAAAACAAAATTATATTTAGCAAATGTCCACAGCAACGCGCGGGTAGCATCTAGTTAAGATAACTTTTGTTGCAAAATGACATAATGTTGCTTCCTGACAAAATGACATAACATATGGGGTAAATCTATAGATAGAAACCTGGTACCCTACCCTGAAGAAATACATTTTTAACAGCACATTATCTTATCATAGAAGTAATATTGCATGAAGAATGGTGTAGTGTGTTTTCACCTTGCAAATGTAGTCATCTCAATTCCTTTCTTACTGTCCAACGTAAACTCAAGTAAACATGGCTATTTTTATTCAAGCTGAGCTGACCCTAACCTGGGCCTCACTCTCCAGTCTCCTAATTTCTAGTTTTTAATCTCCTTTCTTTCTTTTTGCCACGCAATTGTACTAATACCTACCAGAATGATTGAGCACAAAGCATAATTACATACATTGAAACATTCATCATTTTGTTCACTTCAAGTCAGAATAGGCCACATTGTTTGACATGACATGAGCGCCGGTAGTTGGTTCCTCTATCTCTGTACACATGTGTTGTATTGTTGTATGCTGTCAGGAGTCAAGTAGATGGTGCCCAACGTTGCGATCATCAGTGCAGTAGGCAGCAGTAGTAAGTTTGTTAATCCCCAAGGACAGGAACTATTGCGGATTTCAGTTCAATGTGCGAAACACGAACTGCACCGATCAGTCGTTCTGGGAGCTCCTCATATGTATTTCCCTACAAACAGTGTTCAGTTTTGCCAATTATTAGACATTGCACCAACAAAATTTTTTAAACTTAAAACAACTACTTTGAAGCCATAACTGCCTACCTGGACAAGAAAAGCCATGTCAACAACTAGTGTCGTGATCACACCACACACTAGCCCCAAGACTCCATTTGCAACCGTAGATGAACCGATGTCCACATCTATCTGCACCATAAAGCATTCCTTATTTCTTAGCTAAAAGGAAACATCAGCCACAAAAGATATCTCTTTTTCACAAAGACATGGCAAATTCGCATTTCCATATTTTGTAATAAAAAGGGTACCAAAAAGTGAGTCAGATTGAATAATTACTTCTAAATAATTTGGACCACGGATATAGGTAATGTCAACTGCTTTTCCCAGCAGACAAGGTGTGCTGCCAACACTTTGACGGACAATCCATGAGCCCTGAAATTTAAAATTACAAAACATCATGGGAATTAATGAGGATGAAGTATTATAGTTGTCATACTAGAGCATTTCTTTATACATTACTTTGCATAACCTCACAGATCATTTTTAAAGCATGACAGACAGAGAGCACCTTACCTTGGGGACAGATGGAATCAACTTAAACCTACTATTGCGGAATTCATCATCACCATCAACGAAGCGTTGCAATAAGGAGTTCGGTATCAGTTTCTTCGTAACAAAATAGAATACCATACTATAGTTAGTTGTGCCAGGAACCTGCAACAGCAAACTTATGACATCAAAAACTATATTGGAAATGCAGGAGCAGTATGCGATATCATCCATCTTTGCTCGTTCACCAGAATGGCAAAAACGATGGTACATAGCACTGTTGTTTTAGCACAACAGCTAGCGAGAAATAAGGAGCACGATTGTAGGTGTATTGTTGACGAGTGTTACTGTACACCAAAGAAAAGAGTTAACACTAGCTCCCTAAGGACTAAACTTAAAAATGACATTTTCTTCTCCTCAAATTAACATCTGTTTGCATAATTGTTCCATTTCTATGTTAGGTAAAAAAATGTATGTGACAGTGCGGGAGGGAGGGCCACGTAGCCATCAGTCCTATACCCA